CACCAACCACTGGACAGGACTAAACCCCTGTGTGGTGGTGGTAGTTCCTATGGTGCCCATCTCAATGGATGGCCCAGGCTCGCCTTGTCCCTCTCTGGGCTGTTGGCTGCAAGCACCCATTTGGTAAGAGGAGCTGACGCTGTGAAGTACACTGTGATGCACAACTGAAACTGCTTATGGATTAGCAGCAGCGAGCAGCATGACCCTGCTGAGCATCAAGGAGATGCCGTAGGCAGATAAGCCCTGGCTCTTTTGTTCTTTTTCAGGAAACCCTTGGCAAGCTCCTGCCTTGACACAAAGCACTAAATTGTGTACTTGATAGCTTTATGGAGGCTCTTTTGATAACACCAGTTTCTGTGGCAAGGGATGGATCCTTGTCTTGTTATCACATGCACAAAAACCCTCTTACTCAAAGCCATCAGTTTGGTGCTTGTGCTTCTGGTATACGCTTGACGGAAGGTCCTCCAGGACTCACAGGGCTCAAGGCAAGCTTGCTTCCTGATTAAACGCCAGGAGCCTGATGGTGCTAATGCTATATGAATATGCAGTAACACTAATAGAGAGCAGTGCCACGGGGTTTGCAAGGAGCCCAGAACCTGTCTTACCGGCTGGTGAAGAAGAGGCAGTTTGCTCATGCAACGCTCCCATCCCACCCATCCATGCCAGGAAGAGGCTCTGCCCAGGCAGGGGCCTTATTAGTTTGTGAAGTTTCCTTTTGATCTCTGTATCTCGCAGCATAATGAGAAGGTTTGAGCTCTGCCTGGCCCGCCCTCCGTGTGCCTCCCAGTTGCTCCGATCACCCTGAGTCAGGCAGGCAAGGGGAGATCTACCACAGCTCCGGGGTTAATTTCTTCCTAAAGAGAGGTGTATTTGGGGCCTTTAATACATGCTTTGGTAGCCACATGTATGGCTGGTAGCAGGAAAGCACAGTTCCTTCACACCTCCCTCTGTCCCGCACAGGCACACAACCCAGTGGGGGCATCCAGGGTGATCACACCTCAAAGGCAGCTCCTTATTCCCTTGGTTCCTGCAGCCCAAAGCAGCTCTCGGAGGTCACCTGCAGTTGTGCCCCTGTATGGGATGGCTGGTGACCACTCATGCAGGATGTTGGTGCCTGTGAAACCTGTGCTACGGGAGGGAACTGCCTTCAGCAGGAGCTCCTGTGCTAGCGAAGAGGCATACACCCCACTCACCCCGAGGCCCATCAGAGCCCCTCCCTTGTGATTCAACCTCTCTCCCATCCCAGATGGATCCTACACTGCTGGCACACCAGTTGAAGCTCCTTCTCTACCACTTCCTGCCCCTTGGGCTGCAGCCTCCAGAGCCGCAGCGGAAACCACAGCAGGAGCTCACTTGGCACCGCAATCTGTGTCCAGGAGAGCTGGCTCAGCTACTCAGTTCCTCCTCTCCCATGACTCCTCCTTTCCTCAAAAGGAAATGAAAACAAGCTCCAAGCCAGGCTTCCATGTGTCCTCAATGAAACCCATCTGTGACAGCCATGGCCACGGCCTGACAGGGGCTGCTGCCTGGTCAGTGTGCGCAGTCCCGCCATGGAGGAGCGCACGTAGTGAGCCCCAGGGGCAGCACATCCCAAGGGAACAGAGGCCAGAGCAGGGACATGGAGCAGCTGTGTCCTCCCCAAGCGCTCTGCCTGGGGCTGTGCTACCTCCTGTCCCAGCAGCAACAACAGCTCCTGGGAAAGAAGCCAGCTGATAGCTCTGCACATCCACAGGCATCTCCGTAGTTTCCACACACACAGTTTGGAGTGGTGAAAACCTCCTTAGCAGGAACAAGAGTGTCTTTGGGGGGCAGAGGTATCCACCTGTCCCCTGGCTGATTCACAAGCATCCTCCAAAGGAGATTACATAGAATGGGCAGGGTTGGAACTATATTTCTATACAGTTATACTATATTTCCTTATTATAGTTCTTAGAGCTTAGTTTGCATCAGACCTTTGTAAAGTCTCCCAAGTGTCATTCCCTCCCAGTTGAGAATTTACACTAATGTGTTTTGAAGACATATATTCTGTTAGTCATGCTCAATATGTCCTCTGCAATCACTCCTCCTTCTCACAGGGATCTCCCATCACATCAATTACCTTGTCCAACATCCGCCAGAGCCTTTATTACAGCATGAACCAATTTGCCTTCTGAAACCAAATCCCCTTCAGGCATTTCACTGTTTCCTCTCAACTCCTTGTCCTGCCCATCAGCTCAGTTGATACTGGAAGCAAATCCCAGAAATACTGTTCTGCATCCTCCCAGTGCCACTTGAAGAGTTAAAACAGACCCAGCTCCAGCAGAGAGTCCCCGTTGCCAAGCTCTCAATAGGCTGCTGCCCTGACAGCTCCAGCAGCAAGACCAGTAGCTCTCACTAGAGACATGCAGATTAGAAACAGTGAGTGAAAACATGTTGGTTTCATAACACCTCCTATCTCCTAAAGGGGCTTTGCATCCTCACGGAGCATTCCCTTTGGTCCATGTTCTGGGCAGGATTTGTTTGTACCTCTTGGAGATGTTAAGCAGAGACCTATGGATGCAGCCCCAGTGCTTCTTTTGGCACACGTGGTGTGGCCAAGGCAGTTACTAGGGGCCTGTGTAGTAACTTGTGTCCAGCTTAGGATGCTCCCTTCCAGTTCTTGCTATCCCACCTCAGGCTCAAGATGGAAAACAGGAGCAAGGCCACCTACATCCAAGACCTGATGTGCCTCATTTCAATGAGCAGGGCTGGCTTCACGGGCATACCACACTTTAAGGATGCTGCTCACCTAGAAGAACACCAGAACCCCGCACGACCAAGCGGTAGGTGCGGTCCCTTTAGGGTACTGTGAAATGGGGCTCCTTTGCAGTCTTCCTCCTCCTATGTCACATCTGCATCTTCTCACTTTTGGTGGGTTGTCTTCTGCAAGACCTAAGACTGTAAGAAAACCTCTACCTCTGCTTCCTTCTTTTCTCTTCTGTCTATGCTTGCCCATTTGTGTTATGTGCTGTGGGCAGGCAGCCAGCGCAGGTTTGCCAGCAGTGAAGACAGTGACCCCACAACTGCAGTTTCAGGGATGCAGGGCTGTGTTTTGCAGTGCACGTGCAGCCCCACACAGGAGGCACGTTTGCTCTGTGGTTAGCTGGCAGGCTTTCCAGGGAGCAGGAATCTGCTCAGAGAGCTGTTTGTTTGGGAGCATGTTGTGTTTTTGCCTGGTCTTGCAGCTGCCTGTCAGGCACTGTACAAACACAGCCCTGTCTTCCATGCCCCCCCTTGCCTGTTCTGTGTCTCTTATGCTGGGGTTTAGGATTAGCCACACCTTAGCTGGGTAAACAGGAGCTGATCGTGCCCCATCTGCACGGCCTTTTCAGCCTCAGCCACCACAACCAAGAAATGCTCGATTTTTATCCCAAGCAAATCTCCCTTTTCATCATTCAGCACGTCTGAAGCCTTTAATTTGACACAACAGCTGATGTGATCCTCTGCATTGGTTTCATCTTCTATTTTCTGTCTTTGTTCTTCTGTTGTCCTTATTCTTCTTTTCACTGGGTTGATTCCACTCTGCCTCTTTATCTCCTGATCTGTTCCTCATTTTCTCACTCCTTTTTGCCACTCCTGTTTCTCTCCCCTTCTTTCTGCTGTCTCACCCACCTCAGAAAAGCCACCTTTATGTATGTCACATGGGTGCTAACTAATTTATATTAGCTGATCTTCTAGTCTAAAGAAAGCCTTGCAGTGGTCAGTAACCACCACCAGCACCTCGGTCTTCACCTCAGCTCTAAGGCAGCAATTCCTGGCAATTTTTACCTGCCTGTGAAGGGATGAGGAACAGGGAGGGAGGAGGACACCCATTCCCTGCAGCACAGCACCCTCTAGCCTCCGCTGGGGCAGCAGCTCCTTGCTGATCTGCACGAAGGACCTCCACCATCACCATTCAGCCATGAGTCCTTCCAGTCCTGCAACGCTCCTTACCTGCCCAGCCCTGCAAATGTCCCACCTGCAGCCAAATCCAAGGATGGATTTCTTGGGAACTTCAGAGATCAGGATCTTCAAGCTGGTCTGTTCGGAGCAGATGGGTGGTAAATCCCGCATCATTTCCAACAAGCTGAGACGCCAGCTTTGCGAGGTGGAGCCTGCAGTGAGCTAACGTGGTGTCAGCCCAGAGAAGAGATCATTACAGCATCAGGAGCGGTATTTATTTCCTCCAGCCCATGCAATATTCACCTCAGTGGTGGTACAGGCAGTGTTTCCACAGGGTAGTGCTGCTCCTTCAAAGCCAGGGGAGGTCAGCTGCAGGAGTGGTATGGGATCAGTGATGGCAATAGCTCTGCAGTCACTGTCTTCTTGGGAGGCTGCTCCAGGAAAGCATCCAGCAGATGGGGATGCTCTGGATTTGCCTTTCATCCCAGTCAGCCCACTGCTCCTCAATGCCTCCTCCCCAGACCATATCCCCACGGTCCCCATCAGCCTCACCCACAACCGCCCCTCCGTGACAGCATCAAGCCTGTTTTCCCTCACTCCTGCTTTCCTTCTACACCTCCAGGAAACAGAGCTGTGTCTCCCTGCACCCTAACATCATCACCTTTTCCCCCAAAGAAAACGCAACTGTTTTCTTCATACTCCCTCATCCACACACAGCTGTGTGCTCCCCACATCCCAGACCCATCCTGATTCCCACTGTTTCGGCACCAGGCAGTAGCTTTCTGCCATAAATACTGCTCTGTAGGAAAAGCCTCTTCCCCATTCCTTAGGCAATACTAACACTTGGATTCTTACAGAGGTCTGATAATCCCATTGTTTGGTTCACTGAGCATTTCAGGATTGCAGCCCCTCATTCTCCTCATGCACGACTGCTTCTACGGCAGCTTTTCCAAAGAAAGCATTTCACAAGGGGCCACTGAAAAAAATGTGGCTTTAGCAGTCTCCCTCACTGGCTTTCTGAGGCTGGATAATCATAGTCCTTCCAAACTCCAACCTCAGGAACACAGTATAATGGCAAATGTCAGACAGACCACTCGGAATTAAACAGAAGACAAATAGTTTCCTTTATTCAGTATGACATCTTGGAAACACTCCAGAAGCAGCTCATACATCCTTCTGGCTTTACTACAGTCATTGTTCCAATCCATCCTGCTTTCTACCAGAGACACCTCCTCTCCCTGCTCTTGCTGCCAGATACCTGCTGCTGTCATGCAGCCTCCCCGGCATGTAACCCCCCTGCTTGCGCAGAAGGCTCTAGGGACAAGTGTCACACCAAAGCACTGCTTGGCCCCTGCAGATGTGTCTTGATTTACCACAATGTGTGATAAAGGGGCAGAAATGGCTGTGAGCAAACAAGAGATGGCATTGGAGATGGCTGCAGGCGACAGGTCTGCTCAGCCTGGCAGCTTTTGGTGCAGGAGGTAGGAATTTCACCTGACTCCCTGGAAAATGCAGGAGTGTTGTGGCAGAGCTTCATCTCAGGGAGACAGAGACAGACCCTCCCCCTAGAGCACAGAGTCTGCTTGTGGAGCCAGGCAGTGCTGAAAGTGCCACGATGCTTCCAGAAGCATTGCTGATGCTGGGGAATGGTTTTCAAACCCTCTTCAAATCCTCCAGCCAGATGTGTCTGCATGCAGGGTAAAAGGAGTGAGCTGGCTGTTAGGAATTCGTGGAGAGAAGCAGCAGAGCACAGCCTGGTAAAGTGCTCAGCTCAGTGGCATTTCTGGTTTAAAGAATTTGGGAATGCAGTAGCCAATCTCCTCTGAAATGATCACTGAAGGTCCCTGTGTCAGCAGCCAGAGCCCTGTTGGGTTTGGTAGAAAAACAACAAAAGAAGAGAGATATAAAGTCACTAGCAACTACCTTCAGCCATCAGAAGAGAGCAGAGCCTCTGTTCTACAGGGGACGAAAAGGTGGAGTGCAGTAACCCAGGAGGGCTGAGGTTAGTCAGTTAAGTTCTATAATTAGGAAATAAATAGCGTGCTAAATAAACCCAGAGCAGAAGCTGCTGAGGAGAGTGGCGGAGCTGGAAGCTGGAAAGGAACAGCTGAATGGAAATGTGATGGAAAAATACTGAGCAGGTGGGCCACATGCCACTTCCTCGGCTGGTGTGTGTGATGCAGCCACTCTCCCACCCCTGGCACTTGTCTCCTGACGTTGTCAGCTCTTCAGGACAGAGGCTGCTCTATTTAGAGATCTCCAAAGTGCCCATTACGCTTTTAGACACCATTTTAAGTAAACAGAAGAGTCCAAAGAGCACTGTGCATCCCGATCCAACAGGCTCTCTGGCTCTGCAATGCCTCGCTGGCACTGCAGGGGAGGCAAAGCAGGGGAGGAGGAAAAAACATTGCCTTTATTTCCATCTGCAAAGCCTTTTTGTGCTCACATGTCACTGACAGGCACTCTGCTTACTTTCAGCTGGCAATCAAACCCTGTCATAGGAGATGTTTTCCTTTTTGCTCCTGCTGCACTGACAGAGATCGACACCTCATGTTTCCTCCAGCAAAAAGGTGTCTACAAAGGTGCAAAGTCCCCCAAGAGTCCTTCAGCACATGGTGAGTTTGCTGAGCAGGAGAAAAGCTGGGCCAGGGGAAATGAGGCAGAAGAAGAGTTCCTTGCGGCAACAGCCAAATGAGAGGGATGTGAAGAACAAAAGGTGAGTGTCAGCACGGTGTTGCATGGGGTGTCTCAGGCTGGCTCAGCACCACATCAAGCTCTCTCTGCCTGGTACCTTTCCAACTACCGGGTTTTAAAAGGTGAAATTACCACAAGCCATTTTTTGGTGCTTGCACAGAGGTAAGCACCTGCCCAAATCACACGACAAAGCTGTGTTTTTCCTGTGCCTACAGTTTCCAGCACACACATTTGGCCTCGTCTGCAGTAAGCACACTACTCAAAGAGGGATCCTCCTGTCTCCGAAGCATTAGGGTGTTTTGGACACCCCCATCCCACTTCTCTGCAGCAACACCAGACAGAAGCATCTGTTGGGCTGGAGCTGCCAAATCCCTCCCTAGGAGGCTGGGAATGAAGCTAAGCTCTCCCCAGCACCCTTCCTTTACGGGATGGTTTGTGCTACTGCTCAGATAGCATTTCCTGAGCATGAGCTGATTGCTGTGAGTGGTACAGCCTCACTCCTGGCTCCAGGCCACAGAGTTCCACCTACAGCACACAGCACCCTCCCACACCGACCAGCACACCAGCTCCACCATAGCCACATCAGCTCCCTGCACACTCACAGGGAGGGCAGCTTCCTCTGCAAGCCATGGCTTGAAAGCCAGTTTAATAGCCCCAAGATGGGTTTGTATTCACGCAACACACTTGCTCTCTCCTGGCCATCTCTGCTCCCAGTCCAGAAGGTGCAGCTGGAAATCCCCAACATCATCCAGAGTAAAACATGAACTGACTTGCACTGGTTCCTCCTTCCCTTCCTGCAGACACAGAATCTTTTCTATCACATTCCTTCTTCTTGCAATGGGCACAGCTCAGGAGTTCGGCTCCCACTGCTACAGCCACCTGCATTTGTGCTGCCACCTCCTCAGTGTTGGTCCCATCTGGCCCTCCGCTCTCATTCTTCAAGGATGTATCTGAGCCCCCCCAATACCAAAGACCACCTTATGCTTCATTTCTCAGCAAGAGGGCAGCTAAGACTTTGGTTTGCTTTGCTTTGTGACTGTGGCTTAACAAAGCTCTCTTCTAATAGCTGAGCTTCTCTCAGGTCAGAGAAACCTCCAACAGCCTCAAGGATTTAAAATAAAAGCCTTGCCTGAAGGCTTAGCTCTGGTTTACAGTGTGTTTTCCTGCCTGGATCAATGGTGAAGAGCCAAGGTCCACTGGAATCAACTGGACTGGAATTCTCCGTAATCAAGTTCAAACACATTCCTCAAATACTTAGTTAAGAAGCTGATAGAGGAAGTTTATCCACTAAGTCTATCTCAAAGCCTAATCACAAACACAACTCAGTTACTTCAGACATACCAAACCTCAGCCCAGCTGAGCTGCTGACAAGTTTACCATCCACCATAAACCCTGGGTGTTTTCACAAGGGTAATTACAAGATGAAGATAAGGAATCCATGTCTCATTTGACAGTGGTGCTGGATCCCACCTGTAGAAAGCAAGACAAAATGTTTGCTGTAGGGCTGCTGCTGTTTCTGCTCTGCCACCATCATCTCGGCAATCCCTCCCTGTCATTCCTCATCGCTCCCTTCTTCACCGTGACTCAGGCTACAGCAGTTACTCATCTCCAGATACACAACCCTCTGGAAAATGTGACTTGCTCCTTGAGCGCTTTCTCTACGTAGGAAGCTCCAAACTCCCTGTAAACACAGGAAACAAAACGTCTGAAATCAGGGGAAGGATTTTTCCATCCAGTTATATAAAGCAACCATTACCATAGCTAGGAACAGTTGATGTTACCAGCAACGTTAATACGTGGCCCATTTGGGAAGCCACAAGAAAAGCAAGTTTATAAACATCGCAGACATTTCTCGTGTTATTATTTGGTTTTCCACGTGTGGCAGGCTCTCATTTACCTCTGAACTGAGTTCTCTGTCCCTGTCGTATATCCCACTGGGTGGGAGGAAACCGGGCAGGGGCTCCTGGGCCTTTGAGGGGTGATGAGCACATCGCTTGTAAGGCCCCAGCACCACATTTACCACACGGAAGTGGCCTGAGGGCATTACTTTTAAGGCTCTATTCCTTATTTTTTACTACCGTGTAGTATTACATGGCCAGTATTCTGCACCTGAATACACCTACATGGACCATAACCACCTTGTGCCACAATGGAGAGGTTTTTACCCCCTCTGGCCCGCAGGACCACCGAGCTCCATGTCACTGCGGGGTGACCGTGCACCTCATACGGAACCGCTCCCCAAGCCGTACACCCCACCGCGGCCGGGGTGCTGGCTCCGGCAGCAGGAAGCGGCCCGCACCGTGACAGGTGCTCCGCGTCCCCGCGGCTCCGCTCCGTCATGGCGCCGGCAACCACCGCTGCCCCACAGGCGCCGCTAGCCCCGCCCGGCGCGCTGCCGCCAATCACCGCCTGACTGGCAGGGTCCCGAGCCAATGGAACAGCAGTGCCTCGCCCCGCTGCCTCTCCACCAGCCAATGGCGCCCGCGCACCCCGGCCAGAACACGCCCTCACTCCCTACTGCCCTTCTGGCCAATCCAAGAGCGGAGCTGGGCGGAAGCGGCAGGGCGGAGCGGCCAATGGGAGAGTGAGGGCGAGTGCCGATGGGCCGCGGGTAGTGGGGCGTCTGCAGACGGGTGCGAGCGGCGCCGTTGGGCCGGCAGGAGCGGCGACAGCGGCGGCAACAGCGGCGGCAACAGCGGCCCTGTGGGGCTCCCTTCCTGTGGGGCTGGGCCTCCTTCCGTTCTTCCTTCTCAGCGGTACGGGGCCTTCGCCTTCTTTCTGTGTACGCTCTGCAGCAGGCTCGCCTCACGTGTGTATTGCGCGGGTAGCCCTGCGGTGGCCTGGCCCGGTTGTGGTGGTCGGCGGACCCCCCTCCCGGTGCCTCTCCTTTCGGCTGTCGCCGGGGTCGGGAGCACTGCGTGGCTGGCGGTGTGGTGACGGCCTTCCCCATCGCTTCCTGTGTGGTTGTGCAGGGTAAGAAGAGCGGTGCGTGAGCAGCCCGCGCTCACAGGGGTGAAGGCTGGGTTGGGGAGCAGTTGTAAGCTGGTGGGAGCTGAGTATCGCCCTGAGAGGATCTATTGCACACCGGTATTATCCTGAGGGGGGTGATGCTGGTGTGAGGTAGAGTCAGGTGAATTCTGGCTGATGTCTGCCAAATCACCCTGCTCCTCCTAAGTGGGGCTCTTCTCGTGTGTTATTTATGATTCTCGGTCCTCACATTGCTGCTAGTGTTTCATAACAGCTTTAAAGCAATGCGTACTGTATACATGCTTGTTAGCCTGTGGGACAGGACCTTGCTGCTCATAGAATCACAGAATCGTTAGGGTTGGAAAGAACCTCTGAAGATCACCGGATCCACCCCCCCCTGCCAAGGCAGGGTCACCTGGAGCAGGGTACACAAGGCTCCCTTACACAGCTTCATGTGTAACTGTGTCTTACTCCAGTACAGGATGGATAGATAAATCTGTCCTAGTTAATGTATTATAGCTTTTGAAGGCCCTCACCTGATGCTGACTCTTTCTGAGACGCATGTCAGCAGTGGTTTTATTCCCACAGTTATGGCTGGAGGGTTGCATTCTCATGCAGTTCTTATCAGAGAAATCATAAGCTTCCTCTTATTATGGTACAATTGTCACTGGTGTGGTAAGTGCTGAAGAATCCTGTCTCCTTTTAGAGGTTGCTGTTTGGCTTCCACAGCACTGGTGCCTCCTTCTGTAACAAGTGTTTGTGGCTTATTAATCATCTAACTGTTACAGCATGTTCAGCTTGCATACCGTGTTTATCAATGATTATCATGCTCAGCCACATTTGTAATGTTCCTTACGTTGATCCATTCTAGTCAATCACTGATATGATGTTCATAGAACACCCAGTTCGGCCGTCTGCATTCGTGATAACTTATTTTCAGACCTTATTTGATAATGTTTATTTCCTGTGCAGGGAGTTTTGCTATGGACAGCTAGTCTTGGGTTGTTGCTATCTCGGTTCATCTACTTTTCCTTCTTCCTAGATGCTTGCTTCGTTCTCATGTTGTAAGTGAAGCTTAAATAAATTCTCTTGTCTCTTCTTGGATCAGTGGATGTGTTGCCTTTCTTATTATTCTAGCCATCACTTGTTTCAGTCTTAAGAGTAAGGAGGAGGTGCTATTAAAAAAAAAAACCCTAGGAGCTAATGTTTGGGTTCTTCTGTTCTCCTGCCTTATTCTTAAAACCAGTTGTATTTCAGCTTTTGCATGGGAAGTCCTCTGTGGTACTGAACGAACTAGCTGCACAGAGGATGAGGCTGATCTAAGATTGTGCCAGACTTTTCTTCTAGGGCCAGAAAAGCCGTGGAGGTTAGCTAAAATCTTCCATCTTGCAAAACTGTTTCTGAAGAAGTTAAGCTTTAAAATTAATTTGTTCTACTCTTCTTGTAAAAGCTGAGTTTTTTTGATTCGGGAAATAAACACCAGCTTAGACTTAGTGTTTCATAAAGCTGTGTTATTAGATGTGTCATGTGAAAACCAGGAGGTTAATACATTGAAATAGTCATTGTTCTGGGATGTAGTATTGGGAAGGAAAGGTGGCAGAATAACAGTGTTTGTTCTCAACAGCAGGTATGTGGAGAGGTTATCCAAATCTGCTAAGTTCCAGCTGTACTTCTGGGTGTGATTTGATGTACTACAGAACATCAAATTCTACAGTACATAGCTTTAGAGCAGTGATTCAGGCCTCCTATGGCTGAAGTCTTGCTGTCTTCTGTGTGTATAATTTAACCTCACTTGACAATGGAGATGTCCTGGATGCTCCTAGATTCACATTGCTCTGTTACTCCCTTTTCTTGCTCTGTATCTCCAGCCTCTTCTCCCTTACTTTCATGGTGCCAGAACTCTGATTAAGTTAAGGAGGAATGGGATTTAGCAAAGTCTCTAGCAGGGGTGTATGTGCTGGGGTCTTTGGTCCTTGTAATCCTTGTTGAAAGATGCAGATGCAGACACCAGCCTGGCACTGGTTTTCTGGACTTTTCAGCAAAAGCCTAAATTATGATAGTCAGTATAATGGAGTCTCCATCTACACTTTTGTGTTTCTCTGGAAGATTGTCTTTCTTGATGTGTTGTAGCTCTGAATTGCTATTCTTAATGTGTACTAGAGATCAGCTGTACTTACAGGCAAATCTTTCCCCTTCAGCCTAAATAGCTGGTGAAGTTTAAGCTTATATGCAGTTAAAAGTCTGATCAGACTCAGCTGATTGTGGTCAATTTGATTGAATTTCAGTGTGCAAGGGCAGTTTGTCCTTCTTACAGAGAAGCAAAAGTCCCATTTGCCCAACATGTGGGTGGCAATGATGCTAACCTAGTCAGGCAGCTATCAGCCTTTTCTAGCTCTAAGAAAGTTTCTGTGCCCAACAGCTTGTCTTTTCTCCAGCTATATCAGTTGACTTGATGATAAGGATAGTCTCTCAGTGCCAGCAGCAGGCAGCAGTAATTCAAAATGCCTTGCAAAGCAGTTCTGTGCAAACCAGGTGCTTGAAACATCTTTGTGCCTTTGCTCTGTTAGCAGTAATGGCAGCGGAAGGAAGTGTCACACTTGCAATGTACAGAAGATACTAATCTGTATCTCTAGATTGACCAAGAAGTGCAGTTGCCTAGCACTTACTGCTGTTGAGAAATATTTGTGTTTCTCATCATCCTGGGTTTGGTCTGACTATAATAAAAGGCAGTGACAACTTCCTCTACTAATAAGGACTGAGCTCTTATAAACACAAAAACCCTCTGAAACTTGTGATGTACTGGTTGCTAATAATTGAGCTACAGTCCTACTCAGGACATTGAGTCCTCAAATAGCAGGCTTCTCATGGCAAGGACAAGTGACTGCTAACGAGTTCAGCAATTTGTCACACTTCTAAACATATTTACATCTTCAGAATGCTTTTGCATAGAGATAACAGCTTCCAGGAGGATTATGTTGAGGTTGTTCAAGCCTGGCTCTCCCTTAACTGGACCACCCAATTCTGTGAAATGTTGGTTGGGCATATGTGAATATGCAAGACTGTACTGAGTCAAGTAACAAGATGCACTGTCATTTACAGTGAGCATCCCTGTAAGAGGTAAGGAAACCTGTAATATTCCTAACCTCCTGCTCAGGTTCAGCAGCGAAGTAGGTGATGTAGCTTCAAACATCGAGTTGCTGGTCACTACTGTAGTGCTCCCAAATCTCTGCTTTAATAGGCATTCTGGTAAAACTTGAGTATTCTGCAGTATTGGTTTCTGTGTGTTGGTCAGGTCTGGTCTGTTTGGTTATTTTGTCCTGAAAAGTTGTTGCTTCATTTTTAATATTACAACGTGAATTAAACTTCTCTAGCATGAGCCTCCTGTCTGTTATGGACAAACTGAGGGAATGACTCTGCAAATCTTCTGTACTGCTGTGGAGCAGAGCTGTTTGTCAGGAGAAACAAAATGAGCAAAGGTTTTGAAGATTTCAGAGTCAAGTGGCACCTCAGCTTTTGATCATGTTCAGGTGTGTTCAGACTGCTTGAGCTGGACCAGTTTTGAATAAAGCTTCTCTGCTGTTTTAATGTGTGTGTTGATGATAGATGGTCTTTTCTTGTTGTGCAGATAATCTAGTGGGGGGCACATTCCCTGCTTCCTTGGCTGTGCACCACTTAGCTGAGCACACAGCTGTGATGTGCTTGGACCTTGGGCTGCTCCTAGGATATGTATATCTGAGTTCTGTGGCTGTGGGCTTGGGGGTGTTGGAGTATCTTTAACAGTATGATGTATTTAAAAATATAGTGAAGGAGCACAGCAGGGTCCTTCAGGGATGGGGGTGTTTGTCTGTAATGCAGTTTGTATTGGCTGACTTGGCTATCTTTGGCTTCATGCTAATATAGCATTCCCAAACTATGGCTCATGGGTTGTCAGGTTCTCTGTAGTGTATTTATTCCACTTCCTCCCTTGAGCTTAATGCTGTGTGCTGACAGTTACGTGGTAGGCAAGAGACACCTGGTAATACTGTAAGACTGTGGAAATGTGCTTGCCAGTACTTCTCTCTCAGTACTTAAAAGAAAGCTTGATCTATCATAGGATCAGCTAGGTTGGAAAAGACCTTTAAGGTCATCAAGTCCAACTATTATGTCAGGACTGCCAAGACCACCACTAAACCATATCACTGAGGGATATCGCCCTTCAGCAGGGGGCGGAAGCTGTGCCCTGTGGTTGTGTAAGGCAGTGATTAGAGTGGGACAAAGTCCTGACTCTGGAGTAATCAAATAATTATGTTGATTTAAATAACATGAGTCTTTAAGATAAGATGTAATTAATTGATTTGTGTGGAGTCATCAGAGCCTAGTCTTAGCTTATTCTCATGTATCGGGCATGTGCAATAAAAACTAATGCAATGTTTTCCAATCCATCTGAAACAAGCCAGGGAACCAGATAAGGTGATGTACAGGGAGTCTACATAACAATGTTCTTAAGTAATACACAAAATCTGCCTGTCGGGCAGTAGAACCGTTTTGATCAGTTTAAATGATATTGTGAAGAAACAAACACAGCTCCTGTAGCTGGAAGGAAGTGAAATCCAGGGCTCATCTGACTGTAAATTAGCCTTCTTGGGGAAGTGAAAACCTGAAGAGTTTATGGCCATGATGGCTAGAGAATTATCTTCAGGTGCTTTCTTAAGCTAGCTGGTTTGTACACCCATCTTAGGTACTTTGCTTCTGCTCTGAAGGTGTAGGACCTCTCAATAAAGGAAGAAAACCTCCAGTTAAAAGCATCTGCCTTTCTGGCAGTGTGGATGGTGCCTGGTGCTATGAACTTTGTCCCTGTAACCTCACAGTACCTCTAAATTTAGTGTATGAGCCAAGTATTGTATCCGATGAAAAGGTCAAATTCTATTGAAGGCTCCAACCAAGAAATTCCTGTTGGGACATGGTGTAAACAGTACTTGCAGCTTTGTACACTCACCATCCGAACAAATCCTGGCCTGGGTGCTGGCTCTAGCACAAGGTGGAGGGATTTGCACCAAAGACTTCCATGTAATGTTCTTTTAAGCATCCTTGTGATGGAACATGTCAGAGTGCCCTCTTTATTTTTAGATAAGAACCTATTGGATGTTTGTTTGACAGCAGAACTGTGGTGGGCTTTGCCAGGCTCCTGATGACTCTGGTGATAACTGCACTTTCTGTCTCCTGGCCACATCTAAATCTAAGCTTAGATTGCTTGAAGTGCTTGGCTGTTTCTTCATTATTCCCTCTGTGCTTTGAGGTGTGAGACTTAGTTGGTTCTTTTAAATAGCCAGAAGTACAGAGTGATACATCAAGATGATCTCAGCCTTGCTTCTCTTGTGATCTACCACTGAATATAATAGGAGGTTCTGCATGAGGTAAGCTTGGGCTGGTTGAATGCCAGTCTCAAGTGGTGTGACGCCTTGCTTTGTGTGCCTGAGCCCATCAAGCATAGTACTGGTGTGGCCTTAAAATACTGGTATCTATGTAACTTTATGGAGGCCTTAAAGTAGCAGTTTAGGCTTAATACTTTCTCATCTACCTAGACACAGTGCTTGAAAGTGGGATGTTTTGCTTTCCTCTTGTCTAGCTGACTTGCTTAGAGTTTTATTCCCCAAGGAGGCAGTACAAATACATGAAACCAGTCCAAGATATGTTAGTTAATGAAGTCTTTCTGCTTAATCTGTCTAGAAACAGCTGCTTTGGCTCTTCTGAATCTTAGTGGGGAAGGGAGAGTATTGCAGTACCTGAAAGAAGATAGGAAAGGGGATTTGTAAAGGCTTTCAGTGTTGGCCAGGCGTGTTCCAGTGTGTTGGTGTTCAGCTGAGCTCTGGTAGCACTAGTCAGCCAGAATGCTGACTGGTGGGAGGGCATCTAGGAGGCTTTTGTATCAAACTGCTGTTCCTGGAAACAAGATTCCTCCAGGATTCTTCAGTGACTGTAAAAAGCATAAAGTATCTTGATAGTGGAGCTGCTTTTAAAGAGGCTGCCTTTACTCTTGTCTGTAGGCAGTTCCATCTGGCTGCATCTTTGCCTTAGCCCAAAGCATCTCTAATGCTTTAGTGAAATGTCTGCCAGGCTTTCAGTTGCTCACTAAAAGGCCTGAGGGAAGGACCCCTTGGGAGTGGCTTCCTTTAATGTCTTTGCTTTTTTAATGCTGGCTTTCCAGCATGCAGAGTCAGGCTCAGCTTTGGTTTGGGTGGAGAAGCTTTAAAGCTTAGTAGCTACCAAATCCTGTGTGTGCCCCACTGAGTCATGGGGTGAAGTGACTTCCGTCCCTGAAAGAGTCTCCTCTCCCTGGGAAACCTGGAAAAGGAATGTGCCCAGGTCTCAGATTTGTTGTCAGTCGTTAATTCACTTACAAGTGAGTGTCTTGATGATGGCTTTCCCAAAATCCAGTGATTTTGAAAGGAGACACACAGAATTTGCTGCAGCTCTTCCAGCTTTTGTTGTACTCTTTCTATTCCTGTCTGGAATAGGGAAACATGGGGCTTTTCTCATTATACTTGTAAGGGTAAGGTGCATGCTGTTAACAGTAATGCTGAAGTGTTTCCTCCTGTAACATCATTTTCAGCTTTTTATTCTGTGATGAAAGGGCAAATGAAAAGACTCCACAAATCCAGCCCTTGCCTTCAAGTGACTGATTTTTAAAGTTAGTCCTCAGTCACAAATGGGACTTAAGAACATTGTTTGAAAAGACTCTCAGTCTTTGGGGTTGTCATGCCTACAAGGGAATTATAAAAAGAATTGTATACTTAAGGTGCTTCAGAATAACATCTTCAGTCCCAAGAGTTTCATCTTCTTTGTGTTCCTGAATGTGGATCTCAGACCCTGTGATAGATGAAAAGGCAGGCTTAATTGCTTCCAGTGTTGCACTTACTGCTTCTTGCTTGTTTTGTCTAGCCTGCTAAGAGCAAATCTGGTGTTCTGTGTACAGAAATGTTTGTCTGTTTGTATTAATGCTGACTAAGAGGAGATTCTAGATTAAAACCTAGCTGGCTCAGTGCTAGTTATCTGTCCTTTTTGTAAACACCAATTTATTGGGTCGATGCAAAACAGGTTTAACAGAACAGAAGCAGGGTGACCTTGCCCCTGCTTATAAACAGGGAGGCATTTGACCTATGCGATTAGAAGCAGAGCTCCCAAATCCACTTCAGTGAGCTGAACTCTTAACATTTCAGAGCAGAATGCTCTGGATCAGCCCCTACGAATCTGCCCTGGTTGAGAAAGTCTGTTTAGGTCTTCAGAAGGACCAGATGCTAGAGGAGGAGGTACCTGAAGAGCCACAGCTGGATCCATAGCTGACCAATCTAGTCTTCATGGACTAGATCCATTGCTTAGTGAATCGGTGTAGGCAGCTGTGCAACTGTAGTGCCAACTTTGTATTAGCTGTATTAGTATTCAGACTGAATTTCTAGGTAGAAATACTGACAAATACATGAACCTCTAGCACATGTTTGAGGTGTGTAAGTGCAGTGAATGTGTGTTAGACTGCCTAAAATAGAAAAAGACTAGTTCAGAAGTGTTGATCTTGCTTAACAGCCGTTTTTTCTGAGTGTAACTCCAAAAAAGTGTGCTTTTTTAAAGTAGCAATAGGCTAAAATAGAAGTCCGAGAAGATGTGCTTGTAATCTGAAGATCACTTGAGAGAGAAGACTGTCGGGAAGATACAGTTTAGTTGGATCCGTTCTACTGAGTAATGAGGATAAAATGCTAATGACTAATCCATGCCAGTTTTATTTTTAACAAATTCACCAACAGAATGAAAGCTGTAAACAGAGAACTGGCTTCAAACCCAGGTGCTGGGAAGGCTTTGGGTAACTTCTTGTATCTCCTAATGAAAGGAAGATGCCAGCACAGCTAATGGGAGTTTCAGCTGGGGCAGATTTGCTTAAGTGCCTGGTTGTGAGTTCAGGATCTTGGTCTACTGTTCTGCCTCTTGTGCTTTCCCTGGAGAAGCCATTGCTGTAGTTTGCCTGTTGTCTCCTATGCAGTTGGTGGTAGTGTTGGTGAAAGTCTAAGTATGGAAGTGAGATAACATACCACAGCTGAACGTTGCACTCACACTAAGACACATGCCAATATAATCTCATTAGGAAAATAAATGGCTTTTTGTAGCCCACTCCTGTGTGAAGCCGAGACATGGAAAACAAAACCTTCAGAGTTGTTCAGTATTAAATGTCTTTGCTTTCCTCACCCTCTGTTCTCCATCAGAGCAGGGACTTGTGGTGGCAGCAACCTGCAGCTTTCCAGCATGCTGTTAATCAACAGCTGATGTCACACTTGTTTTCTTCCAAGGGATTTCAGTGTGGCTGCTTTGAGTACAGAAAGTACTTCTGAGGTTGTGAGGGTGTTTTTGAGGCTCTGAGTAAGGCTTTGGTATGACCTGTCCTGTTTGGTGTATTCCTGGTGTTGGAAGCAGCAGCCATGGTAGAGAGCAAACAGTTCTGGAGCTTTTTACTGGAAGCTCTGATTCCCTATTAGTTTGTGTGCCTGTAGGGAATCAGTTCTAAGTGTAAATATCACTTACATTTTTATGGTTGCAGGCTGAAAGCTCTCACTCCTTTACTAGCATCATCAAACTCCTGTAACAAGCCCTGGTGCGTGTGCACTGGTGTTAATTAGGTGGCTGTATCTGAGGCTCCTGGTGGCTCTCGCCAGCTTGTTGAAGTGTGATATGTTGTAATGTCTCAAAAAGCAAGTGTGGGAACAAGCAGAGACTGTTTACAAGCTTCCATCTGTAGGAGTGAGCTGCCTCCCTAAGCCTGAGTAAAAGCAGCAGGAAACTTCTTTTTCAGTCTGGCTTCACACTTCAGGAACAGTGTAGATACTGCACAAAGTTGAGAAGAACAGTAGGCTTAATTCTAGTCTTAAATGGGAAGGGAGTTGTGTAGCTTTTGTAACATGCACAATGCCACTGTCTTGCAAAGATGGTGACTGTGTGGTCTTCTGCAAGTTCATAGCTTGGCTTTCCTTTGGAGTTAAACTGATTTTTCACTATTGCTTTCTGTCTATTAGCTCATGAAGGTCATTTGCATACTGCAAATGAATTAATATGCTGTAGGCAACTGATCTAGTCTGGAATCTGTCCACAGGCAGATTTCTAATGCAGATGTATCAGAGTTGAAGCAATTATGACTGAATACACAAATCAATTGAAATGTTTGTGATGGGACGCTTGTATACATTTGCTTTCTTCCCTGCCAGCTGAGATGTGGCCCTATTGTTAACAGTCAGTTTGCTTTTCATCTTCTTACAGAGTAACTCTGATAGCACGTGGATCCAGGCAGTGACGGTTCTACTGAGGACTGGCAGTTCTTCCTAGTTTGAAGAAGTGAAGTTGGTAAGGCTTGACTTGTCAGTACTTGTCTTACTTGGGTTAGCCATGTGACTGAGGAGAGACCCTGAGAAAAGCCTGCCCTGTCAACATGAATGAAATATCCCTATAGTAGCTGCAGCCAGTTATTTGAACCATATGTTCAAAAGAAGCTGGATCAGTTAAAGAACTTGATTTAAATCTGGAAGCATATTGTTATATTGTGGGGTTTTAAATTCCCTCCCTTGATCCACTTTCTTTACCCTGAAGCCCTTGAAAGACTAAATATTAATTTAATGCTCCTTCAGCTGCAGAACTACAGTGAATTGAAAGCTGAACTCACTGTTACATAAAGTGACCACCTTAAATATGTGCAGGAGTTAGTACCAGTTGCAGCTCATGGAGTTGCAAAATTTAGGCTGAGGAGCTAACACAGTAGTTCTTTCAGGTTCTTCTTCTCAAGCCTGGCTTGTGCATCTGGGAGAAAGCACACATCCAAAGCTGCTGATGTGCTTTTATGTCCTGGCTCTTCACTCGGCTTCTATTTGAGCTGTCTTGGCCAAGATCCTGAAAGCATTGACTGGCTACTATGGACTGTGGGGTTTGACACATGAGACAGTTGCAGTTCTAATGCAGCACTGATTAGGAATAAATCTCCTTCCCAACTGATCATCTGGTTTCTGTTTCTTGTGGTGGTCAGGGTGTTCAGAGCAGTACAAAATAAACTTCCTTTCATACTGGGAGTTACTAGTCTGAGTTGATACGCTAGGATTCTTGTAGCAGTGGGAACTGACAGGTCTAGTTGGGTAGCACAGTCTTGTGTTAATGTTCATATCCAACAGTATATTGCAAAAGGCTTTAATACTGACACTGTTTTTATCTCCAGGCTCAAGATGAGTGCGATGTTGGAAACCTCTGAGCTGCCAGCAGTGTTTGATGGGGTGAAGCTAGCTGCAGTTGCTGCTGCTCTCTATGTTATTGTTCGCTGCTTAAATTTAAAAAGCCCAACTGCCCCTCCTGAACTCATCTACCAAGACTCTGCTTTGGCACGCTTCCTACTCAAATCCTGCCCACTTCTGACCAAAGAGTAAGTAGTATGTGTATTTGCCATGGTGACCTGTCTTGTATGAAGATGATCTGCACTTAACCATTTTTCTGCCTAGTGTGTTTCTTAAATCTGGGTGCAAATGAAAGTTGGGGTATTCTCTTGATAAAATAAACCTGTTCCAAATCAAGCATTTCACTGTTGTTAATGTCCCAGGTATCTGTGTTTAGAACCAAGCCCTGTGGAGCAGGGCTATCCATGAATGTATAGGATGTCATCCTTGTGCTCTCTGCAGTAGCTGTATGCTGATATTTTACTATACCAGCACTATATAGCCCACTGTCTGCAGAAATGGGGGAAAGATGGATGCAGTCAGCACTTGTTCCTGTGCCCTCCTTTCTATTAGGGAAGAAATTTGTGAGGGCTCACAGGAAGGAAACACTTTCATGGTGTGTCTGTGCACTTAATGAAGGCAGGGATGGCTGTTAGTTTTAAAGTGCCTACTCTTACTTGAAGTGCCTTAAGTTGACTAATGAAATTTATTACTGGTAGAGCACATCATAACTAGTTTAACAAAGTAATGACATACTGGCCAGCTCTAGGCCTGTTGAATCCACTTTCAATTGACCTTATGTCAACTGCGTATTTGAGTGGGCTGATCCTTGAACTTCTGTTCTAGGACCTTCAGAATCAGTGCAGTTGCCCTTACCCTCACCAATAATATGAAGCATTTACTACAATTTCATGAGGCTTTGGAGGGACAAGGACTTTGATTACAGTATTTCTTCTGCAATCACTTTGAAAACTTGCAAGTCCTATTTAGAAGCCCTAAATACGTCAATTATCTACTAAGTGCTGAGTGCAGCTGCATGAACCTTTCTTACAGATCTCAAAAGTCAAGCTGACTTAATGATAGTAATTTTAGAGGAGATGAGAGGCTTTTAGCAATGCTGTGTTAGATGCCTTGATTACATAAGGTGTAAGATCATGGGCCATAGGATCTGTAAACTCCTGGAGGAAACAAAGCATTATCCATTTTAAATTGGAGCCCAGAGAGGGTTCCCGGATGGACTCTTGAGTTTGGTAGTAACATAAGCCTGTGTTGAAGCTGAGAGTTGAAATTGGGTTCTTGATTATGTCTAGTGCCTTAACTGCAAAGCAGTTGCTTCCCTAAGAAATAAATCAAGAAGTCTCTAGTTACTTGGTACCTTGGACACTTGTGTCAGTGTTAGCACTGCAGATTGACATGTCCCTAGTCACTGAAAGAGCAAACGTGAAGCTGTGCTCATCACAAGTCTTGAAGACTTACTGGCATTAAGCTCCTCTTTGGAAACAGATTGTAAGCTAATTCAGTCTGGTTTACTCCTATTTTAGCTCTGTTCTCGTGGCACAATCTCCTAGCACTACTTGGAGCAGTGTTCTTTGCTTTCAGTTGGAGAACAAACCATTCCCAAAAGAGTGAACATGTCTAAAAATCACAGTACATCTGTTGTGCATTAATTGCAGGAGTGAAGAGCTTGCTGGTTGTTGTGTTAAGAGTGTGCATCCAGGTTGTTTGCTTTCCCTGGATCAGATTCTCTGAAAACTGGAGCAGTGATTTCCAACACATGGTTCTTGAGCTGAACACCCTCTGAAGGGCTTGCATGACCCCAGGAAGCAAACTCGACTGAAACAAACTAGAGCAAAACGCGTCCATAGCTACTTGCTCAGTCTTGTTACCTCTATATCTATGTTGGGGAAAATGGGAATAGAATAGTTCTTGGGGATTGAAGGGGTTTACAGGAAAGACAACTCTGTAAGGTGATATGTGTGGCTTATTCTAATGATGTCACAGACTTTTTTCAATGCTGAAATGAAGAAAAGAAAAAATCAAAGAAATCCTGTCTCTATCATGAAAGTCACCTGGACACTAAAGGAGAACAAATACATTTGAATGCCTGCAATTATGCATAAAGCAGTTTGTAGGACTAATTAGCAGAACGCTATGTGCAAACAGCTTGTGCTGTGCTGCACTGCAAAATCTTGCAGGGCTTTGATTACTTGCTAATTATTCCAAGTGTTGGGAAAGCTGATTAAGCAGCTCTTTTTTCAGATTCTACCATGAAAGCAAAATAAGTAGCCAGCAGTCCCTCCTCTGATATCAGTACTGGGTTTGTATGAGATCTGTTAAAGACCAGTTCTTCTGTACAGCTGTGAACTGGCTTTCAGACCTGGTTTGTTCCACTCCCTCATGCTTAAGGGAGGAGGAGGTGAGGGTATTGCTGGAAGGGGAGGAAGCAGAAGTGAGGAAAGTTATTCCATCTGTGCAGCTGTTTAAAAATATTTGGGGGAAAAAACACTTTTGGATGCTATTTCCCCCTTATGGCACCATCCTTGTCTATACACTTACTTGGTACAGTGTAACCATAGTAAGCCAAGTGGTGGTGGATGAATAATGTAAGAACTTTGGATAGTAAAATTGCCTGAGATGGCTGCGTGCCATGTACCTTGCACTTGCAGATGTCAATGCTGCTTTTTACAGTCCTGTCAACTACTAGGAGCTTTCTTCCTACCTATCAAACATTGGTAAGCAAGAGATTCTGTCTTGCTAGAGCTTCATTTCCCTTTACCTTCTGCATTTTGGCTTACCAAGTGGAGTAGCATAATTAAACTCTTTCATTCAGAGAGCTGCTTCTTGCACGGAAGCTCTTGCAAATCAGCACAGCTATTGGTGCCCATGGGCACTTAGGCTTAAGTCCTGGCTGTAGCTGTCTCCTTTTCCTGTCTCCCAGGTTGGTATAGGGTCAGCCATCTTATTCCTGTAGCAGTGCAGTGTTGGCTCTTTGATTCACAAGGACGAATTTGGCCAGTGCTTGCTGTACTGGGCTATTTTCTTGTCTGTTCCCAGTTTCTCCTATCTCTTCTATGCCAAATCAATGTGTGTCTTTATTCTTGTAGAGGTGTGGCACAAGTGTCATGCTTATCGAAAATAATTATCCTTGCTGCCTGCACACTTTTATCATTAATAAAGGCAAGCTTCTCAAAGATTGAGGCAAATGACTGTGAAGCCTGTTAGTAAACACTGTCAAAGATCCAGTCTGGATCCTTCTCATCCTTTGTTTGCACAGTAACCTATACCGGATGAGCAGGCTGCCTGGTACCAGAAGACTCTTTTGCTCTGTCATTGCTTTTCTCCTAGATGCAAGGAGCCAAGTAGTCAGAAAAGCTGTCTTCAAGCTTTTCAATGTTCTTTCCTTCCTTCTAATGGCAAATAGTGTTTGATTCCTGTCAGCTTCTTCATGATTTACCCTGGGAGGAACACTTCCAGGAGAATAATAAACTAGAAGAGCAGTCTTCCTTCCAAAGCTTTGACAGGTGAACATGTTAAGAGGTAGAGAAGAATGGCAGCTCCCTATTGGGAAGTTGAAGCATTGACCCTGGGGAGTGAAGCAGTCTTGGGGGGAGCCTGAGTACTTGCTTAGGTGCTCCACTGTAGCATCGGCTGAAGGGTTGTGTTCTCCAGCTCTCATCACCAAAGAAGACATGCTGTGATACTCATGCCCTTTACTAAATAAAAGCTGCCTAAATTGGAAAGGAGGTGATTTAACCAAGGAGACCAGTCTGTGCTTTTAAATAGTTCTGACTTTATCCAGGTTCTGTGGGCAGCAAACACTCCACTTAGGTTAGGGTTTTTTTTCAGAAGCTCAGGGGACGTGGAAGCTCTGTAAGCTGCTTTAAGGTTTTGCTGTTACATACTTTCTTTGCCACTTTGAACAGCCTGACTGCACTGATGCAGAAAAAGCCACTTTCTACATATTTGAGGAGGAGGGAGTTGAACCCTGCAGACTTCTAGATGAGCTTTCTTGACTGGAATTCAAATTGCATTCCCCAGCATCAAATAAAGGACAAGGTTCAAACAAGGTTTCATTTGTAAAGCATCCTTTAAATAGCTCCAGACTGCTCTGTAAAGGGGGGGGAAGTAGCCTGTCTCCCTGCTATAACGCAGGTAGTGATTCTTGGTGTCCCCTGACATGGACAAATTGTAGGCTCTGCTTTCTTCCCATCAGCGTCTAATGCACTACAGCACATCAAAGGTAATGTGAGAGTTAATGTTGAAAGTGTTAATCTCCTCGGATGAAATGAAGTAATGCTCCAGAAATATGCCTGTTGCTGAACTTCCACTTCACATCTTTTTGAGGACCTAAATGCTGATGCTTGCTAATAAAAATAGCACAGTTTTTATGTGCTTTGTGTGAGCTGCTTATACAGCAGCTGCTTTCCTAAATTCCTGCATGCTGGGCAATGTATGTGCTCTAAAATTATAATCTGCTGCCTGAGCACCACTAAAACCTAACCTACAGTCACATGTTGGAATTGGGTTTAATATCAAAATGCTAGGAGAAAGTTTGTGAAGCACCTAGGAACTCTCTTGCTCTCAGGCACTGTTGTGGACAGCCACATATGAGGATAGCTGTGGCTGTGCTGCGCAGCTGAAATGCAGCATTTGGAGCTAAAAACATTAGGATTTGTGATCACCTTTATGTAACTGGCTGTGTATTCACTTAGCCAGTTAAGACTGAACTCTGTACTTGTGCTGTGTAAGTCAGCTTCCATAATAAGTAACTGCCATCCCCAGACCTGTTCTCCTGTCTGCCTTCTGTTACAGCATCCTGTTACTGGAAGTTACAGGACTGGCTACTGGAAGCTGTAACTGACTGCCTCAAATATTTGTCTTTACTCAGAGTGCCTGATACCTATTGCAAGTGGCCACATCAAAACAGGAAAATGAGTCAGTTAAAAGCCTTTGGGTCTGAAGCAATCAGGGAAGCTGTTCTTATTTCACAGAAATAGAAATATTTGTTTCCAGTACAACACAACTTTGCCTTTGGCTCTTCTGTGTTATCATTGTCTGTGCTTTTGTGGTACATCATCCTCATCCTATTGTGGGCATGCATGTACCTCTTTGGCAAGAGGTCTTCCTGACTGCTGTTTGCAACTCTGCTTCTGTCATCTGTAAACTATAAGCAGCATTTCCATTGTTTTGCAATAGATGTGGTGCTGGAACAGGGCACCCTGAGGAATAGTTAGTGAAATTTGGTGTGCTGGGATAATCTCTACAGTATACTGCTTTTCAAATCCGCTTTGGTTTATAGCAAGCATTACAGAGGAGTTGGACTCTGTCATGTCCTTGAACACTTTCCCTGTTTCTACTTAATATCAGTGCTGGAGGCAAGCCACCGTTTTTTATGAGTGGGGGGCCCTTGTTTGGAAGACATGATTAGCTTTAGCAGTAGTAATAAAAGGGCAGTACTTAAATGCTGCTTAAACTGAGCCTGCATGGTATCTAGCTTGTATTTCAATGTGTTTACACCCTGCTGAGCTTGCTTTGTTGAGGTAAGCCGTAGCAAAAATACCCCTGAGTACATACTCTTCTGCATACGGATGATTGTTCACAGGAGCATCTCTTTTCAGCTGTTTGCCATAAGGAATGTTGTTTTCACTGCAAAACAATCTGTGCTGGTTCTTGCAATCATGACTGGATAGTTAGGTTTTTTTTCAGCTGAGTTGAATATGAAGCTGTCTCTGGAACTGATTTTTACATAATAAGCTTAAATAAAATCTGATCTGTGGTTTTTCACTGGTGAAGACTCTTGCACAATTCTTAGCAAGCGTTTTTCCTCTCACTAGTGTGGTATCATGCACCTTCATGACTGAAGAGTTCTTTCTATTCAGTTTTAGTAAAAACAAGCTGAAAGTTGGTATAAACCCTGGGTGAAAAGATGTCCTTCATTCCTATGCAGTCTTACACTATTATGTGCAGTACTTGGAAAGTTCTTGTAGACTTTCACTCAAAGATGTAGATAGAAGTCATTTACAGGGAGACTTTTAAAAACAGATTTATCCATTGCCAAAATGCAGAGTCAACAGGAATAGTCAGATCATATGCCTGATTCTACTAGAGATCATAAGGATGCTTTGCAAAGTCAGATTTGGCTTTCAGCAGAAGACAGTTTTTACTGAAATGTGATAATACAGCATCACTTTGTTACTGGCAAGGCTTCATAGGGGTTTCTGGTAGGTAAGATTGGCAACTTGGTAAATGAAAGTAATATTTTTAATAGCTGTTTGCTTTTGCATCAGTCTGGTAAGAAGAGTTTCAGCTTGTCTTATTTTTTCACTGATTATGCAAGAGCTATACAATCTGAGCAGCTTTTCCCCCTTTCTTTTGAAGTCTTATGATCAGTTTCCTGGAGCCTGGATGCTTAAGGGATTTGAGGATATTTATCTCACCACAAGCCTGTTGCTTAAAGGCTGATGGGCTGTAGCAGAAGAAAAGATAGACAAGATAACAAGCTGCTGCTCTCACACTTGCATGTATTTCAGAGCTATAACTGCTTTACATTTAAGGGCAAAATGCAGAAATATACTAAACCTGCTTAAGTTTGCCTGAATGGGAGTAACGAATCTCTGCATCAGAGCACTGTCCTGTGCATCTTATTCATGTTGGAACTTGAATTTTGAATATTTACCTGAAGAGTGTAGTTACATGCAGAATGAGTAACACCAGCACATCTTTGCTGCAGGCAGTGTGATGCTTAACTGACTGGAGTTAACATGAAAACTAAGCTGAGCGTTTCACTTGCTTGGTCTATAGGATGCTTGGAAACACTGGCTTGTCCACTCTGAAGGGAGCAAGTAGTGCATGCACCCTTGTTTGTAGGGTTTAAAGCAGTTTTAGCTTGGAGAAAAATGTGGAACCCGTCAGTATCATTTGTCCATCGTTATGGATGGAGTCACAGGGATTCCTGTTGGTTTTAGTCTTTCCTTTAATGAAGAACATGCCAGTGGAACTGCATCTGCTGTTTGCTTACGTAAAAGCAGTGTAAAGCTTTGACTTACTGAAGGTCAGGACTTCACGTAACTTCCAGTTGGGTTATTTGAAGGCAGACTTGAGGTGTTTTTCCTCAGAGAAGCCAGCTGTGACCTGAGGAGGCAGGCAAGTACTACACTCTTGGTAAGCAAGCAGGCTTGAAGCCATTTGTCTTCATTTAAACACCGGCAGTAGTGGTAAGGCTTTGAAGACTCTTCTAATTTCCTCTCTAACAACATCCTGTGGTTTGCACTGCTGCAGCTGCAGCATCTATTCCACTGAATGACTGTAACCTAGAGCTGGAAACGGAACTGTAAGTAAACATGAAGAAAGGATTGATGCTTGCAGAGATTCTTGATTTCTGTTTCTTCATCAAGGTGGTAGCAATCATCAGTCACAGCTGTTGTAGCTGGAGAAATTGCTTTCCTGTTAGCCCTGTGCAGTAAGACTTTGGGTTTTACCTGGAGCAGTCTGTGATTTGAAAAGCACTGTATAGAAGCAAAGTCACCAGAACTTTCCAATGTATGTGTTTAAGGTAAGATTAGAAACTATGGAACAACATTGACATCTGTGTCTCTTAAGAGCTGCAGATTCTTAGTAGAGGTTGTATTTGACAGCTCCCCACAGGCTGTTAGCAAAACCCACTGCAAAGGACTTCAGTGAAGGAGACAAAAAGCCAGTCAGGCCCTGTCCAATGTGGAGTGTGGCTACTGACCTGAACTGGTTGTGAAGTACATGGCTGGGGTGAAGCTAGCTGCTGCTTCTTGGTTTAGAAGAGAGTTGTCTTTTCCATCTGGCAGAATAGTTGCTGTTCAAAACCCTATGCAGTGAGCTGTGACTTGAGCAGAACCATCTGTAGTCCTTGTGCAGCCTTGTTTACATTGACTGCAATCCCAATGGATATATATATACTTTGAATTGTGAACTTGTATCCCCTGACTACTTTCTATCTCTACCAGCAATTCCAGAAGTCCCCATCATTGCTGGGAGATTCTGCATGTCTGGCATGCTGCATGTCAGTGCATGCCTCCCAGTGATGCTGCAGTGATCACCCAGAGATGCTGGGCTGATAAATGGTGCTACTAGCCTCACATAGATTCTTTGGAAAGCTTTATAATTAAGTGATCAAACCCAGGATGAACTGAGAGCTAGTTTACAAGGTTACAAGCATCAGTTGGCAGCTTTTGCAGCCTTTTTTGAAGTGGTATCTGCTTCTGGGGCAATCTATTTTGGGTCTGTTTGGGAAGTGCACTTGCAAAAACAGGCTGTACAATGAACTATTGTGTTGCTTTGACTGTAAGAAGCCTTCCTCATAGATGATAGAACAGGGAGAAAGAGCATACTGCTCCTCTTGGCTTGCTAAATAAGCCTAGATAGTTCATATTTCTACAGAAAGGGGATTTTTGAGGAGTGTGTAGGGGGAACAGGGAGTTGTTGATAATGACACACAAGAGCTGGCATGGGAAGAAGGTCCAGCTCTGTGAGTAGGTAGTGTCAGAGCACAAAGGCAAGGTCTCTGTCACATTCGTGTGGATTTTAAAGGCTTAAGTAGTGTATCTGAGTTCTGAGCTACCTAGTCCCCGGTGAACAGGGAAGAGCACGATCTTTGCTTTGTGTGGTCTCAAGAAGTCAAAGGAAATAATTGCAGGAAGCCCTAAAAAACACAACGGGGAAGGAGCTGCTAGTCTCAGAGGATCCAAGGTGGTGTCGGCTGCACTCAGGTTTCTTCTGGGTACCCTGCTCTGTGTAGCAGAGACTGTAGATCTTTAATTGGAAGCATGTCCCCTGGAACTGCTGTTCTCCTACGCAATACATCATTAATGCTTTCGTGTTCAGAGCTGATGTAAGTGTCTTTTTCAAGGCCCTGGCTCAGTCTCTCCTTCACAGAGTGGACAGGTGACTGTCCTGCCACCAGCAATGGAATGTGTCCTGTTACCACTTACAGCTCAGCTTGTGCTAAAAACCCCTGATAACTGAGCCTTTAGTGCCTTCAGCTAATATTGGTGTTCCCTCCATGTCTTTTTTTTAAGCCAGGAAAAGAAAGACAATTTGCTTTGTTATCTAGCTTTAATATGCACTTGATAAACGTAATCGGTAGACTCACCCCTTTTCTGTTGAAAGGGGTTTGTTATGGAGTTTGGCCAATTCTGACAGCTCCATTTAAAGCTGGCGCAGCTTTACCTAACTCTGCTTGAGAGGCAAGATCACCCTGTACTATGCTCTTCCTTAACTGAGAAAAGCAGTTCTGTGTGTAATCATCCCAGCCAGCAAGTCTTGGGCCTTTCAGCCTTCTAGCACTTGCTGTGAACCCTGTTGTTTCTGCCACTGGCTTGTACAGTCAAGTGCTTACATGAGTTCATGTGGCTCAACCCAGCAGGCTTCAGTGTTTCAATTAGAACAGATTTACAACGCTTTCCAGGTTCTGGAGGTCAGTGTGGTTGGCTAGCAACGTGCTCTCCCAGTGTCACCGAGGCACGGAGCCTCTGTGTATTTGGTGAGAAGCATTTGTGTGTGTAACACTTAAATATAGAAGAATGTCTCGGGTTTGGCTTCTGCTGCTTCTGTAAGTGCTGAATTGTGAGCCTTGGAGAGCATAGCGGTCTCTTCTTGTGGAAAGCTGCAAAGATCAGTGCTGCCAGCTCAGTCATAGCAAAGACCATGTCATATTTGTTGCTATATTTGGAGATCTGTTATGGGAGTGCTTACCTGTTCTCAAAGGCTTGTTAACATGCCAGGAATAAGCCATTAAATTGCTACCTCTTTCAGGTATGTTCCACCCCTGATTTGGGGAAAGAGTGGACACATCCAGACAGCCCTTTATGGAAAAATGGGAAGAGTGAGATCACCGCATCCGCATGGACTCCGCAAGTACCTCACGATGCCAGACGGAGCAACAGCCACCTTTGATCTCTTTGAGCCGCAGTCCGAGCACTGCATTGGAGGTCAGTCGAACAGCTGGTGGCTGCATCTAGCTGCTGACCTTGATCCTGTGCTCTGGGGGATGGATGAGAATACTGCTACTTGATGTATTAGAAAGGATAGATGTTACATCTGGTGGTGGAGGGGGAGCTGCTAAGCAATACTAAACCATGTGTGGAGGGTATGAGGCCATCTTGTTGTGTACCTATACTCAGACATCAGGAGAGACCCTAGTAGGCTAATTAACTGTTTGTGGCAAGGGATGGGGAGTTAAGGAACAAAAGTGTTCTTTAACCTGTGCCTCAAGTGAGAGGCTGGCAAAGAGAATCTGGTGGTAAGCCTTAACTGGAGTGCCCTTTGCCAGTTAAGGCTGTGGGATCATAGAACTGAGGCTAGCTGTACAATGTCCTTCAATTAACTGCACTTCTATTTCCCCCTTAGAAATAGTCTTGATAGTCTTTACTAACAATATGTGCTTCAAGTTCTGCATGAAAATGAACTCCATGTGCAAAGGGTATGATGGAGTCCAGACATGAAGACAGCTCCATGAAAAAGTATAAAATTGTGGGGATTCCTTACAACACTACGTATTTATATTCAGAGTGAATGTCAGCTTTAAACTCACTGCTAGTAACAGCAGTACTTAAAACTGAGTTACTGTGTCTTGACTTCAGAAGTACCATTTACTGCTGCAGTAGCTGATGTCATGACTCCCATTTGGCCTTTGTCAGTGTGGAGATCCTCATGGTGTAATGCTGCGCTAGAACAGTCTTTACCACTGAAAAGAACCTGAGCAGTGCTTTCTTAATGAGGCAAAAATTCAGTGGCTAGAGCTGCTCATGTTGGAGCTTTTCATGAGTCTGAGAGCTAATCTGAAGTACATACATTAATCTTGAATGTAATTTATTGTGCTTATTTGAATTACAAGAAGCTCTTTCTTAGTTGATGAGATGATATCTTGTTAAACTAGTGAACAATGTCAGCACATCAAATACAATTACATTAGCCACAGAGATGATGGCTCATGTCAGCCGATCAGAATGTCTGTGCTTAGCAAAGCTGCACTTTGAAGATTGTTACCCTCAATTCTGGAAGAGAAATGAGGGGAAAATAGCATAGCCATCCTACTTGGTGCGTGAATGAGCAGTGGGCTCCAGAGCCTCCACTCACTTAGTCACTGCAGGCTGTCACAAGGCAGAACATGTGTAATGTCAAACACATCATTCAAAGGGAAGAATTTGCTCTTAGTCTCTAGGCAGTGTCTGTAGAACTGTTCGGGCAGCTTTCCCTGGAGTTACAGGACTGTTCATCTACTGCAATGTGAATTATTTGTTCACATCTGTAGCACTAGAGCTGCTCATCTCCTGTCCCCTAATGGGGTTTTGGCAGGCTAGTACGGTTTTTAGCTTGCTTCTGGTAGGTGGTTTCCCATGGATCTCAGTTGGAGCCCTTCTGACTCTCTCAATTTGCATGAAGTGACATTTACTTAACTTCCCTCTCTTTCTGTGCGCAGAGGATGTCACGATGGTGATCTGCCCTGGGATTGCTAACCACAGTGAAAAGCAGTACATCCGTACTTTTGTCGACTATGCCCAGAAGAATGGGTACAGATGTGCTGTCCTGAATCACTTGGGAGCCCTACCAAACATTGAGCTCACTTCTCCACGGATGTTCACATATGGTAGGTACCTCATTGCACCTGGGCACTTATTTCCAAGCTTGTGGAATTTTTAGGGCTTCATCCTTCAGCATAACACAACTGCTGTATCTGAGTGAGGATAATTTTGTATTGTTTCTTAGGAACTGAACTCAACTTATGCATGGAGAAGATACTAGGATTCACTTTTCCTTGTCTCTTCTCGTAGTTCTTACACAGGCCTCCTAATCAAGGAGGCAGGTTTTTGGAAAGAGAACTTTTTTTTTTGTGAAAACCCAAACTCTTGTGGCTAAGAACATGCTCCCGTGATTTTTAGAGGTGCCAAAATGTCAGCTTAGTGGAATGTGGAACAAAACTGGCTCTGAAAAATAAACACTGCTTCTGAAGCTTTAAAATGTAATATGAGAGGATTTTGTACCAGCCTATCCAGAAAGTACATTTCTGTCCTAAGAGGGACACATAGGGATTGGTCCCTGGATGTCACACAAATACCAAGGAACAGCAATGGTTTGACAGTACAACAGTGGAGCTATGGAAGTTAGTGCTTAACTGCCACGATTTTGGGATTTTATCTTGAGTATAAGGAAATGTTAACCTGGAAATTAAAAGGAGCTGTGTTTAAGGGTGACTTCAGCTATTCTTAACTGCCCTGCTAGTGAGTAACATGATCTTTGTAGAATGTGGTCTTCTTGCCTGCCACCTGATCTGCTTGTTCCTGAGCTTTCTTGAGCGATCATGTCCTCCTTTACTGCAAACATCTTCATGGACATTATGTCAGGAGTCAGTTGTGGGTTTAGCCCATCAGTGTTGGGTTTCTTGTTCTTTAAAGATGACTAAAACTCACTGCTAAGAGTTTGGATTAGCAGTTTGAATGTTTATCTTGCGCAGTTGAATTGCCAGAATAGCAATATTGTGCTTTGAGATTCCGAGTCTGGCAGGCAAATAGGCTCTAATGCTTTGTTGATTGTTTTATAGTCATTAAATCTACTCAGTGGAAAAGACTTGAGGAATACCAAGTACCTCAATTTGTGTTGTCTCTAGGCTGTTAATAGCTTTAAGCCTACCATGTCCTGGGAACTAAGCTTGGCCTCCTTGAAGCATTTGCTTTTTTGATCAAAGTTGACAGCTTTCTTCCATGGACCTTTGCTTTAGACCATAGGGAGTAACTCTGTAGTGCATCTCTTGAGACATACCTTTCTGAGTCTTTTATAGCTTTGGAAAAGGAAAGGAATGCCTAGCACTTCCTGAGTAAGACAGTAAATCACTTGGCAGAGTTGCTTGTTAAGTGGAGTGCCAGTAAGACCATGAGCAGCCTTTCCTCTACCTCCAACCCAAATATCGCAGTGTCTTTCCAGCTTTTGCTGGATTCCTGATGTATTTATTGAGGAGCAAATAGCCTGAACTTTGGATTTGCTGAATCCTCCAGCCTTGACATCAAGCTTGACCTGTTGCTATTCTGAAATAGTTACCAGTTGCCCTCAAATCATGAAGGTCAAACACTAAAGTATTTTGACTTCTGCTTCTTCCAGAGAAAACTAAAGCAATGCTGCATTTATCATCTTGATGGAAATTGCTCATCAGGAATGTTCACAAGGGAGTGCCCAAGCCCTGCTGAAACACTCAGCCAGAACCTGTTTCACTGAAGTAAACACAAACCCCGGTGCTCAGTCTAGAGCTAGCTAAAATCTGAGGCTGATGTCTAGTAAGGATGCTACAGTTGGGGTGGGGGCACACTGGAGCAGTGTTAGGTTGGCACATGGTGGAATTGCAGCTCCTGGGGTTTATCTCCCTGGACAAGTTCCACAGGCTAGAGCCGAGTTCCTGACTCTAGACAGGAATAAACAGCCGTTGTTCATGTGATGCCTCATGTGTGGTTTTCAGTCTTAAACCCAGTGGGAAGCTTAACAGTGCATAAACAGTTGAAAGCACTGTCCTGGTGCCATCCATTTTGCAGCTCCATTTCTTCATGTTTCCTTTTCCCAAACTACAAGGCAGAAGAAACAGCTGTAGGTGGTGGTGGTGCATGTGTGCAAGTCCTCATGCCTGTCAAACCATCTGAGGACCCCAGTACTGCCAGAAACTGGACCCCTCTTTGCCTGCAGCCTGTGGGATGCAAGTGGGTGTTAGCTGAGAGCAGAACAGACCTGTATAGAAGCACTTACCTCTTCTTTTGAAGAGGGGGTACCTCTATATCTTCTAGGAAGCATCAGTATCTTTACTTCCTCAGTGGTTAGAAAGGGCTAGCTGTCTCTGCTTGAAGCCTTCCCTCTGATTCCAGAGAGCAGCTGCTTAGTCAGGCTCTGTATCAGTCCTCTGAGCTTTGTCCTGACAAATCAACTCTCCATTTCCATCCCCTCCCTGCATGAGCATGGATTTAAGGATCCATGGCAGTCTTATTAAAAGCAAAGGAGCAAGCTGCTTTTCAGACACCTCACTTAAGTTCAGAAGTGGCAAACTGGCTCAGGAAGGTAACAATGTGTGCTGTTCTTGGATAGTAATGTCAAGGCCAGAGTTGTTTGACACAGCTTTAGAAAGGAAGACTTGAGATTGTCACATTAGCTATTGCCGTAAATTTTAAGCAAGTTAATTTCATCTTACTTTGGCACTCTGTCAGAACTAAGCATGAGCTAAGGTCCACAGGACTCATAAAACAGATACATGAACACATATGAATCAGAGCTGTTAAAATCTTAAGGTTATTAAAAAGTCAGGGTAATAAGCTGAACTTAAAGTGCACAACTGAAACTCAGAGTGGGATTATAGGTTTTCAGAAGATGATTCTTGACTTTACCTCTATTTCAGGTTGCACGTGGGAATTTAGTGCCATGGTTAATTACATCAAGAAGACCTACCCTCAGACTCAGCTGGTTGTTGTGGGCTTCAGCCTGGGTGGAAACATAGTGTGCAAGTACCTGGGAGAGAGCCAGGCCAACCAGGAGCGAGTCCTGTGCTGCGTCAGTGTGTGCCAGGGGTACAGTGCATTGAGGTAGGTCTAGAGGATTCTCCATGCTATCTGTTAACAGTAAAACTAAGTTTCCTTTACCTGGCCAAGTGTATGCTGGCAGCTTCTGGTCTGTGTGTGTGAGCTGGCCTAACTGTCTCATTGCTATAGCATCCAAAGAGGAGACATTCCCTGTTTAGTGTCCTGGTGTAACTAACCTGGCAGGCTGGGCAGCATGACAAACTGCTGAGATGATGCCAGGCTTGCAAGCCACAGTTTACACACCCTCATTGCTCTGAGGAGCATCCCTTGGTTCATAATGGCTCGTTTGGCTTCATCAACTAGAGTTTCATTTGGCAGCTCTTAGCCAGGGAGACTGAGAAAAGAGACACAGCACAGAGGCTGTCAGTCTGTGCTCCCCTCTGAGTGTGTGTCATTGAAACAGTGCTGTGGACTGCTGAGGAGATGGAGAGGCACTTGCAATTATGCTGTACACTTGGAAAGGTGAGGAGGAGAAGGATTATAGCCCTAAATTCTGCCTAAGACATTAACCTGTGGTTCACTGCCTGGAAGCCCAGGCTGTAGCATTTCAAGAGTTGTAATGACTCCACCTAGTGCTAGCACTGGAGGATCTGCGGACGGCGGTGCTGCGTGAAAACTGGTGGCTCAACTCATGTGCAGTAACTTTCCATGTACGTAGTTAATGAAATTTAAAGCAGTTGTAACTGGCAAAGCTGCTGCTTTCAGTCTTTACTTTTTATACATGCAAATAACTACTGAGGTGTAGCTGACTTTAATTAAACTGCACTTTTGAGCCCTGAAACTATTTGCAAGACAAAAGGGGCTGTTGAGGCTCTAGGGTATTTGGGTCAAGATCTTTTGGGCAGATAATGGTGAAACTATGGCAGCCCTGTAAGGGGCTTGCTACGGAATTTGGCCTCCCAGCCTGGTCAAGATAGCTGGAACTTTCTTGATGCTGTGATGTTTTGCCTAAATGGAGACCAGACCTCAGCAGTCTGAAGACACCTTTTATAAGCTAAGCTCTTATAGGTGAAAGAGAAGCTTTTATGGAAGCATTAAGATGTGACTAAAAGCTTGATGTGCATATCAGTAATATTCCAGTATTTCTAATTCCTTGTGAGAGCAGATGTAACTACAGCTAAAAATGTATAATCTACTCCTAGGTCCCCATGAGTTCACAGCCTTAAAATCTGGATAGATGCATTCAGGCACAGCATTTCTGTTTTGTTTCAACTAAAATGCTCTTGGATGTCTTAGGCTTTTGGCATGGAGCACAGAGCATACTGTTGAAGCCAGCTCTTCAGTTGCAGCCCTCAGACAGGGTTTGCAGGGTTCACATCAGACTGCAGTCTACTTGGTTCATCTTCTGCTATTACACACTGTACTATTTCTGGTGTCCAAAATGATGTTGCAAGTAATGCTGTTCCCTAGGCCGATTTCTGTAGCAGTGTGTCATGGTGTGCTGGTAGAACAGCAGGACAAGGGCAACCTGTTTAACAAAACTTGGATGTTCCTGTGGAAGAGTTTCAGCTGCTTGTCTGAATTTAATGCAGGTCTTCAGTGGGTTGTGTGGATTACTGAGCTCTGGACTCCACCTGCTGGGTAAACATCTACTAGCAGATCTCCAGTCTCAAAGCATCTGCTGTGTGTTACTGGGCAGTCAGTAGGAAGGCTTTTCAAATCTGCTGTCTCCCTACCTCATGTCTAATTCTGCTTTAATTGTTGATTATCTGGAGAGCTGTGGGAAAGCAACATCAGTAAATAACTACTAAGCAAAACACAGGAGAGGGAGGGCCTTGTGCGCTGGTTGTAGGAGTGAGAGGGAGGAGGTACAAAGCACCTCAAGGTGGAATGTTAAGCCTTAGCTTTCCTGGGCTTGGTGTGGTAGGTTAAAATAACTGGCCTCATCCCTCTGGGCTACATGAAAGTGGATTATCCTGTTATGCATGACCAGTTAGTTTACAATTCCATTTTCTTTCTATATTAGCTTGTACAGCCTTTATTCCTCAAATAACTTTAGGAAGTGAAAGAAAAAAGTAGTGGTGAGCAAGGTGAGCCAGGGATGTGAAATACGAAAGCCTTTCCGAAGCATTAAGCATGAGTCCCGTAGCTGGGCATAATAAAATAACAGGAATAGTAGGATCTGCCAGAAGAATGAAAGACTCTTAGTTTAATGAATTAACAGAATCTGGGGAATGTGTTCCCTGAGGCTAAATGGGGACACATCTCCTTATTCCTTAATCCCTGCCTGCACAGGCTTGATTCTGCTTCTTGATATTGTGGAATGCATCTTTGCCATAGCTACGGCTGTGGGGAGAGACCTCAACTTTTGAAACCTGTGCAGTCCTCAACGTACTGGGAGTTGCTTTTCCTTCCAGTACTTGCAGCTCTTCGTATTAGGAATGCCACTGTACACCACAGGACCTGCAGGGGAATTCTAGTAGTTTTAACTTCAAAAGTCTTGTAATAACTTAATGGGTTTGCTTGGAAAATCTTTTGTGAAGAAAAAAGTGTGCATCTTCCTGTCTGGCTTCATTCCCCTGCCCTGGTATAAACATGATAGGTATAGTCTGGCTAGACAAATAAAGATATGGAATATGTATATGGATATAGCTTGCTTTTGTCCTTGTAGGGGACTTGCAGGTTGTGGCTTGGGGGGTCCTGCTAAATCTGCTGTAGCTCTCATGGTACGTTAATGATTAAATGGTAGGAGTACTTGAATAGGTGAAACTGCTCTCAGCATTCTTAAGTTGCTCAGTAAATGGTAGTGTGTTTCCTCAGTAACAGCAAACCCTGCTAAGTGTAAAGCTATAACCTGCCCGTGACCCTGCATAGCAAAAGAGTATCTGGCAGAGCTCACATGTCTGGATCGCTTTAATTCTGTTCTAACAACAGATAAGCTGTGAAGTGCTGTTTTGCTTTGAGAATAGGTAAAGACTTCAACTCAGATGCCACTTGCAGCTGTGACACGTATTTCTTCCTCCAGCTCTTGCCAACGAAGCTAGAACAATAAGTGTCTGCACATATTGGAAACATCTGCACAAATTGTTTCCTCCGCAGAGCTATCTACACAACAGACAACACTTCATTCAGCAACAGGTTTTAGTCCTTTCCTTGGTAGTACCATTAAGTAAACTACATTCAACTTGTGCAAAGGGATACCAAAATCCTGTTGTCAGTGCTGCAGATCTTGATTGATGCCTCTTAAATGCTCTGGTCCAAACTGCTAATTGCATTGTGCAAAATGAGACCGGGATCAGTTTTCTGATACTAACAAACTTCTTCAAAGCAGGAGTCATTTCCTGGCAAAGGTTAAACTGTGGCAGGGAAGGCCTGGAGGTTTGTTTACACAGCCTCTAGGCTGCCAGAAGATGCTACACTGGATTAATCTCATCTTTCAAGATCTCCATTAACAGCTTTGATTGTTCTGCAATGTGTATTTTTCTAGGGCACAGGAAACCTTCATGCAGTGGGATCAGTGCAGAAGATTTTATAACTTCCTCATGGCAGACAACATGAAGAAGATCATCCTTTCTCACAGGTACTGCAGTACATCACTTAGGGTCAGTTGCTATATTGCATATTTCATTTTACTCCTTTAAAATAGAGCTTCTGAAAGCTTATGCACCAGTTCCTTGTTTGGTAGTCTTTAGATCAGTCAGCAGAGAAGGGGAACCTGTATCAATCTCATTCATATACTATAAAATGTACAAATAAGCTTTGATCTTAGAAGAAAGCAGGCTTTGTCTTTTTGCCTTCTGAGGAAACTTGCTTAATGAATCAACAAGATATGCACAGGAAAACTTTGCAATTAAACTTCAAAGTGGAGCGTTCTGCATCTGTTTCACTTCTAGCCAAAGAATTGCCTATTCAAGGAGCTTCTTGTTCTGCCACGTACTTGAGGTAGGACTAACCTTCAAGATCTGCTGTTTATCAAATAAGCAAATAGACAAGTTGTAGCTCTGGCTTCTAGCTGTGCCTCTAGAAAGAGCATGTAGCCAGCAAAGTACTTAGTGTTGCTGTCCTGGAGTGCAAGTGCTCTTGTAGGATCCCTGCGCTGCTGTTGCGGTCTGTGGCTCTCAACCTAAAGGAATGTGTATGTTAAATAGGTGACATGCTCAATGTTGTTGTCTCCTCCATCAGAAGTTCTCTAGGTACTTCTTTCTAGGGCCATAAATGTGTAAGTATTTCATCTGTGTATATTTGAAGTTGCCTAACTCAAGGGGAGTAGCAAAGACCCATTCCAGTTAAGAGCATGTGTCACTTGCAGACTTTTGTTTCACTATTTACACTCCTGTGCAGTATCAAACACTTGTAGAGGGACTTAGGGCAGCTGACAAGTGGGATGAGCCATGTAATTCCTTCCAGATTGACAAATATTTAGACAACTTGTTCAAGTTTAACATGTGAAGTTAGGTAAGCTCCCATTAAAAGTGCTTAAATTCATAACCCAGAAAAAGCTAGTGCTGGCTTGGAGGCAAGTCTGTTAACTTTTTTTTTCCACATTCTCTCCTGCTGTGAGGCAACTCCCCCAAATCAAACTTAACCTCCCTCCTCCTCTGCCCTGCAGCTCCCTCTGAAAGGGAATAAAACCCCTTTCCATCTTGTAGCTTTTGTTCTGTGTTAGGGGAGCAGTTTGTTCTGGTAAAGAACCACATCCTCTTCTGAGAGCAATAACTAATTATGACAAGTGTCCATAGTAAATACCTTTCTACTAAGGTAATGCCCCAAGTAGTTTTTGCTGTGTGAGCTAACCTAATATCTGTGCATGAGAGACTTTAAGGCCAGATGGTGAAGGAGGTGCTATGCCCATAACTCCTAGTGACACCCAAGCCACCCACAGGTTTGGTGTGAAGCCAAAGGACCCTCCCTCTAACATGCAGCCTCTGTTCCAAATGCCCCAGTGCTATCTGTTCTGGGAAGATTCTTTTTAAAGGCCCCTTGTGCAGTTTTTCAGTGTAACAGGAAAACATTCCTCTGTGAAAGAGGTTATTAGGGTGTCTGTTATGCCTTGCTGCAAAGGGAGTAGGATAAATAAGCTGTGCTTGTTCCTAAAAGCCTCATGTGTATGTAGCCCACTTCTAGTCTTGTCACACTTGGTAAGCTCACTTGTCCTTGAATGGGTCATGGGTTTCCTGCCCTTGTCATGTTATTTGGATGTTTTTCTTGATGTTACTCTTTCAGGCAGGTTCTTTTTGGAGATAATGTGAAGAAGCCACAGAGTCTGTCAGATGCTGATCTGAGCAAAATCTATACAGCAACATCCCTTATGCAGATTGATGACAACGTTATGAGGTATGAAGGGTGATTCTCTGATCCTCTGTAGAACTCTGAAAGCACCTTCTCTTTCAAGTGTTGCTCTTGCATGCCCCTTGCTGTGCCTGTAGGAATCTGCTGAAACACAATGCTGACAACCTCAATTCTTCCTTGCCTTCACACTGAATAAAACTTGCCACAAAAAAGCTTGCTATTGACAGTCACAGCTTCTGAAAAATCCTCCAGGAGGCATTGAGTTATCAGCGACATCTGAACCTGCAGCCTTCAGTAATGTAGGAAGAGGCCAGCTCTGCCTGCAGGCCCTGGCAAAAACCAGTGCAGAATGTGGAAAGCAGCTCAGAACTGCTCATGAATGCCCTTTGCCCTGCTTCAACCTTGAAAACAAACCCTCCTCCCCAAAAACCAGCACTGCCTTCTCAGCAAGTATTAGGGTTAGCTGAGATAATGCAGCTTTTTCTACTTGTCATTCTAATGCCTTGCGTTATAAAGCAGTAGCTTGTTACTGCCTGTGTCCTTGAAAATAACGTAGCACTTCAGTGGCAGTGTTCATACCATGGCATGTTCTGTATCAGGCATTGACACCTTTCCAGGATGAAGCTGTAAACTGTCAGCTATGTGGCTATAACACTTTTGACAGACTGGGAGTGTTGCTGGCTGCTTTGTAAAAGCTGTTCCTAGGGAAGTCTCCCTTCTTACTCCCTCATTCTTGAGGCCTTTCTAGTTTGGGCCAACAGCTGTGTTGTCTCCTATGTCAACAAAAAGCCCCCAAAAGCACAAAACTAAAAGCACCACCACAAGCATTTGAATATAGGTTTACTGAATTCTTGGGTTGGGATGGAGTGCAAAGGATTTGGCAAAGAACTGGAACCACACTGAATGCTGGGTAGCTTATAGGCAGGCCTTTTTGTCTGGTATGTTTAAGGTTCATAAACCAGTGGGTTTGTATTTGAAAAAGCTTTTGGGTAAAGATGTAACTCTTCCTTCCATATGTACAAATAGGCATGATACTTTAAAAGAAATGCCCTGAAGGCTGCTAGGTTTCAACCTGCATGCTTAACTTGCCCATGCTAACAGAATGTTTGAATAAGTACAGAAAGCATAAAGGCATGTGCTGCCAAAGGAGCAGAAACACTGGGTGGTAAAAAAACCTTGTCTGTGAAATTGAGGCATCATTCCTATCTCTGCATGTATGTCCTCACTTGGAAGTGTCACATGGGTACCAGAAGCATTTGCAATGACAGTCTTCTCTATTTCAGGAAGTTCCATGGCTACAGTTCCCTGAAGGAATACTATGAAGAAGAAAGCTGCCAGCATTATTTGCACAGGGTAAGCTCTTGCAGTAGGGACTGCTCTTGTACCTTCATTTTCCTATTGGAAAGAAAGTGCTCCATGGTTTTTGTTGTTGATACCTACACCCAGCTGTCTAAACTGGGATTTTCAGAAAAAAACAGGTACAGTTTATTGAATCATGGAATCATAGAATAGAATCATAGAGGTGGGATTTCAGTTCTTGCTACCTTTTAATACCCTGGCTAAATGCTCTGGGCTCATTCAGCTGAACTGCTCTGAGTTTATGAGGATAAGATGGGAAATAGGTGGTGGCATAGAGCGTGCGGCTTCAAGGAAGAAAGGCTTACTCTGGATACTGTGGAGGAGGCTCAGGATGCTGTCTGAAAGATGCTCAGCAGACCGAAGTTTTGCAGAAGTGGAACTGGAAGATTAATTCCTCCTTGATCTACTGAGCTAGAGGATGGAGACGTTCCAAGGGAGTTTCCTGGACTTTAACCAAAGTGTCCGTAACAGAGCTGGCGCTAGCTGCCTGATACTCAGAGCAGTGCAGAATGGAAAAGGGTGTAGCTATTTGAATTCTGAGAGTGGAGAAGATCTGTGAGTCCATCTGTACTTGTCCTGATGCACCCCTGCCCCTTTCTTACTATTGAGTTTAAGATGTTCTGCACTGGTGGAAAGCCATCAGTCTTAATTTCTGACTCTTTCTGCTTTTCTGATGCTTCCCCAAGTACAGAGCAGCTCTGAAATGAGAAGTCTTGATTGAGTTAAGCTAAGATGCTTTTATAGTAGATAGATTGAAATTCAGATACCAACCCCTTAATGTTTTTTCCTTCTCTGCCATGTTTCTTGATGCAGATCTATGTTCCTCTTCTGTTGGTTAATGCTGCTGATGACCCTCTTGTGCATGAGAGTCTTCTGTCAATTCCAAGAGCTCTTTCAGGTATGTTGAAGCAGTCTCCTCCAGCTATGCATACTTGTGTACCTGCAGCTTCCTTATCACATCATGATCCATGATTTCAAAGCAGCTTAATGTGCCTCCTTACACCTGTAATCCTGTGAGGTGTACTAAGCCACTTTAAATTACCAGATGTAGAACTAACAAGGCTAACCTTGATCAGGAGGAACTTGAATCCTTTCAGCCGCCTTGTGCTGGTTTGGCTGTTGTTGATAGCCAGCAGGTTATCTTCAGTTTACATTCTTGAATGGAAAAATGCTTCCTCATGTCTTTATTCCTCACTGGGATTTAGTAGAAAGGTAGGTAATTACAGTGTTGATCAGGTATGGATGGACAGCCCCCTTTGCTGATAAATGCTGATAAATAACACATGTATGCCTTATTCAGTACTGAACTTGAAAAGACTTCTGTGAGCTATTTTCAGCCAAGGAAAAAAGGGCAAATTATCTCTAGAATCTCAGAAGAGGGAGCTGGCTGCTGCTTCATCACACAAGTAGTGCACAGGAAAGGAAGCGGGGTTCATTCTTTTCCCGGTTGAAAGCTGTGAGCATAGAATTTATCCACAGCTGCTTCCAGACAGAAGCAAGCACAGGGATTTTCTCACTATACATGGAACAAGGTGGCTGATGCACTATCAGTGCTTAGTGCGGCTTGACGTGATGTTAGCAGTTCTAGTTCCACAGTACATGAGTTAAAGATGTTAATGTGTTAAAGAATGAATATTATTATGGAAATACAGGCATTGCTCAGATGCCCTCTGTACTGACTGGGATCTGCTCCTGCAGACCGCCCTGTCCTGTGAAGCAGTAAGGTTACGTGCTTTGAACTTCAAAGTGGCTTTGACCTTTGTGCATTTCTGCTTCCTATACGATTGCTCCTTTGGTTCAGATGCTATGCCAAGGGTTGAATTGATTTATCGCAACAAGACTGTTTCATTCTCAGCTCAGAGATGTTAACCTGGAACTTTCTGCCTCCTTTTGTTTTACAGAGAAAAGAGAAAATGTCATGTATGTGCTGCCCCTTCATGGAGGCCACCTGGGATTTTTTGAGGGGTCTGTACTGTTCCCAGAACCTCTCACCTGGATGGATAAGCTCGTGGTACAGTATGCCAATGCCATCTGCCAGTGGGAGAAGACAAAGTCTCACTGCTCGGACACAGAGCAGTCTGTATCTGGCCCTGAGTAATTGACCCAAAGACTCTAGATCACTTCAGTGTATCTTCCCCCTTTGGGAACATCTTGTTCCCTCACTTGCTGCTTCAGGTTTCCATTTTCCTTGATATCCTATGGCTGGGGTTTGATCATAATCTTTTCTTGCAAAGTGGACTTAAAGCAAAGGTTAATATCTGGTCAGAGTATTTTTGCATATAGTCACTTGGGTTTGTAATTTACTGCTCTGTCTGAAAAATTAGGTTGCTGTGACTTGTTACAGGGTTATTGATCTCAAGGCTGCTTGCTTTAATATAGCAGAAGTTTCAAACATCAAAATCCCTTCTCCTGCTGATCAAAAACTTGATCTACAGCATTGTTTAGGTGTAGGGAACAGGGTAACTAAGGCTCTGTTCTGTCCCTGTGCTGGAAAAATCCTGTACCAAGCCACAGGACAGAGCATTGTTCAGTCTCTAAGCCACTAAAATGTGGCTTGAAAAAAAAGATGCTTGACTGCAAGTGGAGTTCCAGCCTTGCACCATCTCAAGGGGAAGCCTTTTAGTTCCTAGGAATGCACTTACACAAGTCAATCAACCTAAAAATACTTAACTTTTTCCATGCTTCAGCTGTCTGTGGATTGGGTGTCTTTATGCTGGAACTCTGCGAAAAGCTGCAGGCTGGTAATACCGTGTAATGTTTCTGTGTAAACATGTTCTCGCACCAAGAGTATATCAGTCACCTTTGCGTCCTTTTAAATGTAATCATCTTTTTAGTACTGGGGTTTTCTTTGACCCAGGGCTTTTTGAAGCTGGCTCTGGCTTCCAAATGGAAACCAGTGATCAAGAATCTGAAGGATCTTTCTGTGAGCTCAATCTCTCCTTAAGAATATTTCATAGAGAAGTACTCTCAAGTGGTTTTTGGACACATGACTTGCCTTACAATTGATGAGGAACTGGTGTTCTCTAGCCCTGTGCAACTAGAATGGTATCTCTGCATGGCTAACTACTTCCGTATCTGTGTAAAGGCTGCAGGATTGCTGGCTCCAGTGAGACGTTGGGCTCTTCCTCACTTGATTCCTTTTTCACAACCAGACATCCTCTTCTGGTTTTAATGTGTGAAGCGTTAAAGCTGTTGGCAGGAAAGATGCCTACTCACTTGTGCTTTTCCCCTCAAGTGGTGTTATAGTCTGTGCCAAGATGGCTATTAATGACTCTAGTCTATCCACCAGAAGGAAAGCTGTCCCATGACAATCTGGAGGCTGAAACCTTGTGGTAAAGATCTTTTTTACTGTTTGTTCTGTCAATATTGTAGTCTCATTAATCCATCCTTAGGACTGCTTTATCACAGTGTCAGTAAAGTTCTTCTCCTGTCTCACTTCCCACATCAGTTAGCACTTTATTGCTTCAGCCTTGGTGTATGTTCCAGGCACTTTAGTTTATAGCTTAAGGGTGAAACAAGCTGCAAGACTTCAGTCTGGTAATGTAGGGGAGCAAGCTTTCTGGAGTGCCCTGTCCCTGAACTTCAATAGGTTGGAGAGGTGGGTTTTGTTTTAATAAAGCAATAATTAACTATTGTAGCAAAGGTGCATTATCGTATCAGGAAATTCCTTTAATTTGCCTTAGGCCAGACACCTTGGCCTGTTACAATGAACTGTGGATTTCTGCACATTCTCCTCATTAGCAAATTGGGTTTCCTTTTTGGTTCAAAGAAAAAATTTGGCCAAGTAAAGTTACTGCAAGACTTGCCCTTTCTTGTGGCTATTCCTTAAGAACTATTTTAGAGCATCAGGTAGCAAGGATATTCTTAGCTGATGGTCTCTATGTTGTTATGCTCTTATTCATACTGCATCTGTGTACCGCTAAAATCTGTCATAAGGTGCTTCAGGTTTTTGCTTAAGTAGCTGTTCATGTAATATTCATTGGATAGGACTTAAATCTTGCTTCCACAGAAGTGGAGTGTAAACAACACTTGTACACATCAAATAGATGCAGCATAAATTTAGGTGTGTAGAGGGATGTGATTGTTATCTCCAGTGGGTTACAACTTTAGAAGTGTTTCAACTCTCATCATATATTACAGCTGTAGCTTAATGGAGGTTGTGGCTGTCTGCCTTGAGGAAACAAACCTGCCCTCCCCATGCTTCATGTGTCCTTCCCCAATTCATCTTTACTGTGCTAAGTATCAACTTGAGACAGTTCTAGAGGAAGAGTCCTTGGTACTGATACTGCTGAAGAGCTCATCACATAAACCAACATGTGGATACCTATGAAAGGTCAATGTGCATCTGAGCTCCTTTGAGAGCAGAATATCTGCTGTCCTCAACTTGAGAGCCTTATCAAAAGGAGGGGTGCTCTGCTCAGCTCCCCAAGTGGTTGAAGCTCTACCTTACTCCCCAGGACCCCAGACTGGCAGAACAGTTCAGCTGACTGGCGCAGAACATGCAAGTCAGGAGGGTGGGAACTGGCTGAGAAGGTTAATGCTAAGGTAAAGCAAGTGTTTTGTCTCTGCTTTTTGGCCAAGTCCCTCTTACAGAACACAAGGTACTTTACTTGCAGCTTCCACTACATCAGATTCGCCAGCATTTTTAATGGTCCCTTGGTTAGCTTCTAAATCAAGAGTGTTTTCAGGTGGGTCTGGCAGTGTTGTTGTTGCACTGTAAAGACAAATGTGAACTTCCCTGCATTCTTCCTGAGTGTTTTCCTGCAGTTCCTGTTTATGAAGATACAGGTTACAAAGGGCATTAAGCAAAGATGTTGGGAACTATTAGCTACAGTACTGAATTTAGCCAATATACCTGTGTGTCATCTGTCCTGGGTCTGTCACAAGTCCCCAGACCTTTGACATGTGGTGCCTTGCCCTTTCCTTCCTCCTTCCCTTGACATCAGCATATCTAGAGACTTCAGTAACAGCTCTCTCAGAGCTTTGGGGGCTTTGCTTTTTAGGAGTAAATGAATTTTCAGACACTGACTTGTGAGATACCTCTGGCAATGTGCACTGTACAAGTGAGTCTTGACTTAAAGGACCTTTGTGGGCAGCCTACAACTAGCTACAGTCTATTTGAAGGCTTAAAATAACAATGTCTATAGGTAGTGGATCACTTTCAGCTCTCTGCTCCTCGAGCAGTAGGGAGTGAGTCATAGAAGGAGGGTTTGCTTTGCTTAACATGTGATTTGCTGCTTTACAATCCCAAAGTTCTTGTGTCTATTAACTCTCCAGCAGTGTAGCTGAAGGTAGGTTGCCTAAGTGAGTGCTTCAAAAGAGCAGAGAGTAGCAACTTGAGGATTTAATTGCCAAACAGTTTAGTCACCTGGATTCCTTCCAGGTTTTGCTAGAAATATTATGCCTGCCTGGAGCTTATTGAAATGCCTCTCAGCCTTTTTCCAGGAGACCAGAAAAGGCCCATGCCTTGTTTTACATGTGTAAGTCATTTGTTGTGAAGAGCATCATCTTGTTTCTGGCTTGAGTCATGCTCCCTCTGTCTGTATTCCTTAGGTGGGTCTGCCTGATGGGTAGGTCCCAGAGCCACAGTGACTCAGAGCAATATGTAGGTGAAGAGCAAACAGCTCCTCTTGGTGTGAGGACCTTCTGGAGGTTTCAAATGCCTCAGAGCAACAGCAGCCCAAGGGAGGGATGCCTTGTGACTGTACCCCTTTGTCACTGGGAATGTGGGTTACACTGGCCTGGGTTTCCTCAGCTGTTGGGGGAGCTTAAGTGTAAGTGCCATCAATGAAGCAAAGCAGATGCCAGCTCTCCATGCTGTGGTGGAAGAGTTTCTAGGATTATCCTGAACTGTCGTGTTCTGAACATGTCTACTCTTGGGTTTGCTGGTTAATCAATGGATACAAACACTGCAATCCAGGGCAGCATTTGTCAGGTTGGCTCTGCTGATTGAACAGCCCTTTTCAAGTCTCTCTTAACTCTTTTCAGAAGCTCTCACCCTGCATCACTTGAGGATAAAGGCTTTTCTTTTTTCCTCACCCAGTAGCATTGCCTAACCCAGGTAGTTTTTATGCCAGTAAGAAGCACTATATATCCCATAAGGTGGCTCTATGCATAGCCCTTTTGCTTCTGTTTGAATGACAAGCTCTCATTGTCTATCTCTGGTCATGCAAGAGCTTTGATTAGATACAGAACTTTCTCCTAGGGTCTCTGCTATAGTTCTTCTGGGATGTTGACCCTTCCCATGGCTCCTGCCAACTGGGAAGTCTTTAAAAGGCCAAACAAATCCCACTTGTATTTGATAGAACCAAACCCTGCTGCTTAGCCCAAGTCAGCAGCTTCCCAAAAGAGCATGTTTTCTCATTGTGTAACTTGTCAGCTTGACCATAATTCCTGGTGACAGATCACTGGGCATTCTTCTTGAGAAAGCAAAACCTGTTCCTCGAAAACCCCCAACCCAAAGAGGTGTGGAGAGAGCTGAGGAACAACAGACCTGTGCCCTTGTTGTGCCCATGCAGCTGTGTTAGAGCAGCCGAGTGGCTTCTCATGTTCTTGGTGAGCAGTTTGCTATCAAAATACTTTCCAATTGGCAAAACTCTACTCTGTGACTGTCCCTAAATGCTGCCCTGAAACAGCTTCGTATCCTGAGACACCCTCTCTGCTGCCATGTTCTGAGTCGGATTCTCTGGAGCTGATGGCTGCAGAGGAGATGATTTGCAACTAGCAATGCAATTTTTCTATATCTGCTGATGTTTACCTTTCAAATGATATATATAAATATATATAAAACAATGTCTGATTTTTCTCTTTAATTTTTGTTCTTCTGTGTGGTGTAAAATGGAGATCATTGCAAAGCAAAATGTAATTTTTGTTATCTTTTGATTCAGTGGGTTTTCTTTATTTAAAAATAAAGGACTTATTGAAGCCAGTGCTACAGGTAGTGACTGTGTGCAGTGCTACTGGTTGATGAAGTCTGTCACTTTTAGGCCATGCCTTTCTTGCTCCCTTTGCAGTGGGGAGAGAATCATTTGATGGGGGAGTACATGGTGATTAAAATGAATATGTTCCCTCAGTTATGAGCTCTGATTTAGCTAAAGGAGGAACAAGAGGAATCCTTTAGCCCAGCCGTTCCTGCAGCACAGAAGGCCTCTCCTCTGTGATGACCGCTTCCCTTGAGGATGTGGTGAAACTCTGGGCTCATGTTTCTGCAGAAATCACCGTGTGTCGTTTGTCCCTATTTGAGAGAGGGTGGATTTCCTAATCCTTCAGCTGCTGGCAGAAGAAACACACAACAGTAACACTGCCATCTCTGAGCCCAGGGCAGAGAGAAGCCCTGCCAAAAGCATCACTTGACTGACATTAAGAGCCCACCAGGTTTTTACCTACAGACCAAGTAAGACAGATGTGGAGGGTAACTGGGACTGCTGTTGGCGTGGCTGGGCTGGACCAGGACCATTGCTGCTCCTCCTCTGTAATGAGAACTGCTCTGTGGGAGGCCGTGCTTTGTGCTCCATCTCTAGTTTATTGGCCATTGTAATTTAGCTGTTAGATCTGCTTCAGAACTTGGTCAGAGTCACTGTGGGGGGGGAAGCTGAGGCATGTGTGGATGATGCTCACTGCTCTGCTGTGCTATTCTGTGTCCCCATCAAAGCAAGCTCCTGGCTCACACCGTGTCCCAGCAGTGTTAAGCAGCCACAGCAACCTCCCAAGAGCTGTTCCTGTCCCAGTCCCAGTCCCAGGGGCAGCAGTGTGCTGTTCTGTCTGTGCACATGGGGCTTTGTGTCTGTTTTTACAAGTGAGCTGCAGTTGCTCTGTCTCCCAAGCAAGCTGTGCTGTTGTGTTTGCTCTGGCCTGACGGTTGTAGGGGCTGTCACACGTGCTTTCCTTGGGATGGCTCCAGCTGCTTCCCGGCCCTGCACAGTGCAGAGCCAAATGCAGCAGAGAGGTGCCTTTCGCACACATTTAACCCCATTGCCTCTGCCCAGACATGCCCTATCCTCCCCGCAGCTTCGGAGCCCATGTCCTGTTTGGTTTGAGCCAGAGCCAGTGCCCTGATGAATGCAGCTCTTGTCAGCACCCAACACTCCAGCTGCCTTTGGGTCGGGGTTTCTGCTGGTGAAAGGTGCCCATGTGTAGCTGAGAGGGAGGAAAGGGGACAGAACGAGGGTGACAGAAGGTAACCTGGGCAGAGACCAGCAACTTGCTCATCTCCAAGCCCTGCTGCTGGCCAAGGGAGGAGATGATGGTCTGGAACAGATGCCTGGCTCATGAACCAGCACAGACTGCCTTGCCTGGGGCACAGCTACTTCTGCCTCCCTCCTCCCCAGACCAGTGCTGCTGACTCCACATGAGCATTGGCTTTACCATCAGCAGAACTCATTTTCCAGGCAAGGACCCTCTATGGTGGCTTTTGGTGGGGCTCTCTCCCACAGCACAGTACTAGGAGAACGAGCTTCTGAAGGATGCAGGAGGGTATGTTCTGCTTGTCCCTCACTCTCCTATGGGTAAATCCATCTCCTAGTCATAGCAGCTGCTGCAGCCTCTGTTCCTCCTCCCTCCCTCCCTGCCTGCCTGAGCAGGAATTACACAGAGCCTGGGGCACTGGTTGGGTTCCTGCATCTTTTGGGCTGTTTTCTCTTTCCTGGTTAGAGCAGATGACTGAGAAGTGGGGGTCCTTGTGCGGGCAGGGGTCATGCTCACATTAGGATGCAGGGAGGATGGAGACCGCTGGTTCCTTGGCCTCTGTGCCAAAGGACAGTCAGTGATGGGGTGGCAGAGGTCTGCTAGCAAGCACTGACACTGCTGGCTTCCTCAGAATGAGGAGCACAGCCAGTGTGCCTACACCCAAAAGGAGCCCTGTTCCTTGCCACATGCCATAAGCAACCCCAGAACTCTGCTGTTCAACACCACTTTATTTCTGCCTCGCTGCAGCCCTCCCTTCCCAGAGCAGACGCTCCCCTGTCCCCTCACCGCAGCTCCAGGGCTGGTATCCTCCTTCCTGTGCTGGCTCCTGAGAGAAGGATGCTCTGCCTGGGAGGGACAGAGCTGCCGGGCAGCCCGCTGCCTGGTGTGGGGAGGCAAGAGGAGGGACAGGCAAGGAACAACCTCATCACGAACAGTCATCCAACCAGTGCTACGGCAAGGGGGTGGCTGGGGTTAGGGAGCCACCCCTGATCCTACTGTGCTGGGTTAGAGAGCTGTGTCTTCAGCCTCGATGCGCGGCCCAAAGAGCTTCTCTGCAGTAGCTTTGCCGTCGTACTTGGGCAGGGTGCCACCAAAGTCTGCTGGCAGGATGTCAGCATCAATCTCCTGGTAAAAAGACTCCAGCTCCTCTCCGTGCACAAAGACCTGGAGGGAGATGGGAGAGACCAGGGCAGCGCTTCTCATCTCCTGCTTCACCCAGGGACATGCCTCTGGTCCCTTTCCTGCACTCACCCTCTCCAGCAGTTTGCTCTTCAGGAACGGTTTGACCACGTTGTAGGTGGTGGTGAAGTACCAGGGCTGGTGGATGAAGTGGACGGCCTTGAACCGCGCTGGGAAGGAGTCCTAGGATGCGAGACACAGATGGTTACAGATGGTGCTGTCCACACACAGCTGGGCAGGCAGCAGTGGACACCCTGGCACTGCCATGGCTCTCCTCACCCCATCTCCCATTCTCTCCTTGATGGCCCCTTTTTCTTCTGACCCAGAGGATCAGCAGCCCCAGCCCCAGGGAAGCTAGAGCCTTCCATAGGGCTCATAGCTCCTGCTCCATAAGCATGGTCACATCTCTGCTGTGCTCCTTCCCTGGGGAGAGCCAAGTGTCTTCAGCCTCTGGTCCAAACCCTGCCAGCCCTGCCACTTCCCTTCCCTGAGCTTTGATCCCCCCAGGGCCCCCTGTTTGGTGGGCACAGGCTCTGCCTCCTCACCTGCAGCATGTCCACCATCTTCTTGAGCTCGGAGGGTTTGATCCCTGATGCCTGCTGCATGGTGAAGCCCTTGAAGTTCTCAATGATGCAGAACCCATTGATCTGGGTCTCTTCGTTTTCCAGTAGCTTCTCCAAGATAACGCAGTAGGCACGAAGGATCTGATGGAGAGGAGGCAGCAGGGTCTGTGTTAGGTCTCACTTCCTGCAGACTCCAGTTTCCCAGGATGTGCTCCATGGAGCATTAGCCTGGGTCTGCCTGACTCCAGCCTGCTTGTACAGCCAGCCCAGGGCTTCAGAGCAGGGAGGGCATTGCAGGGGATGCTCAACAACCACCACATTCCCCTTTGAAGTCAGATCTGGTGTCAGTGACACCTTGTGATCAAATTCAGAGCTGAGCAGAAAACACAGCTAGGGGAAGCTGTGAGTTACATAGATACCTCTGTGCCAAGAGGCCCTTTCTGTGCCTTGTGCCTCAGTTTCCTCCTTTGCCCTGCTGGCCCCTCCTTTCTAAAGAACCTTGATTTAATGGTGTGGTGCCTTTCTTCACCCCATGTTACCAGGGCTGGGGAATGCACCCCCTGAATTCATCTGCATCTTGCACCATGTCAGGGGGAAGGAAGGAAACCCTTTGGGATGGGACATAGAAGGAACCCTTTGGGATGGACCATTCTGTCATGCTCCCTCAAAGCATAAATTCAAAGGGTTACAAGTTTGCTTCAACCTGGGTGGCTGGAGACTGTGTGTGGACACGTGTCCATAGGGATGTCGTGCTCATACGTGCCAAGGGGCAGGATCGCGCCCGCTCTGCTGAGCTGACCTCGTCGAAGGTGATCTCCTCGTAGTCCCAGTTCTCGATGTTGAAGAGCATCACGACCCGGCCATACTTGTCCCTGCTGGCCAGGATGCCAGGGTAGCCGGCCTCGATGGTGCTGCGCACGGCCTCGGGGCTCAGGTTGTCGAAGAGCTCCGGGTACTGCTGGCGGAAGCTGACGTAGCCTGCAGAGAGGCAGGAATCAGGAGGACAACGTGGCTGGTGAGCCACCAGAGCACTGGTGATGGGGAGACGTGCCTGGGGTCCATACAGATTAGCAGCGCACCAGCCCCATTGTGCTCAGTGTTACTCTCCCCATATTATCCCGCATCAGCCTCCTCTCTAACACCTCAACAAGCACGTTTTTCCCTTCATTTCCCTTTTCCCCTTGCTCCCTGTTAGGGTGGTATCACCCAGCCCCCATCCCTTGGCTCCCTGCAGGCACAAAGTAAGGAATCTCCTCCTGGGAAAAGGCAGGCAAACAAAACAGCTCCAATGGGAGCCAGTGCTGATAATTACAACTCATTATCCCCCCCCCAAGCTGACACAAAGAGTGGAGCCGGAGCCAAGCAGGGGCTGCCCTTCCATCCCTATGGGTCATTCCCAGTGTAGGGAAGGGGTGCCAAAGCGCCTCAACCTGCCCTCAGCCCTCGAGGGATTGCAGGGGTGCTGAACCCATCAGGCACCATGCATAGAAGCATCAGGATGGGTGCAGGACCAGCTGCTTACATGGGTACAGGAAGGATATGGGCATCTCCAAGGGATGCAGCTCAAAGCAGCTGGGTTTGCTGCACAAATAGAACACCACCAAATGCTTTTTCCCCCCCTATTTTGTCCCATAAATCGACATGGAATGGGACTGTTCTGGCGTTGTGGGATGCCTGGTACCACCCTCATTTATTTCCTTCCCCATCCCAACTCTTTCCCTGCATCCCGCCTCCCAGCCCAGCACCTCTCCCAACCTTTCAGCAGGTCGTAGGCCCTGTGGACATCAAACTTGCGGGCACGAATGAAGCGGAGGAGGAAGGAGTCGTCCTTGTCCTGCACCTTCTCTGCCACCGCCTGGCACACCTCATCACCGGCCGCCCGCTCCCGCACCAGCTCCCGCAGCGCCTTCACTGCCACCTCCCTCTGCTCCACCGTCTCGTTCAGCTCATCCTTGGCCTGGAAGCACACCCCAAAACACCCCAATTAGGTACCAAAAGCTGGGGGATGCAGCGATGCTCTTGCAGCACCCTAGCACAGGGAGTGCAGGGTGTAAGTGCATCGCACTCAATGCAAGAGCCTGCTGAGGGTCTTCTCTGCCCCCCCCGGAAGGAGCAGGAGCCCCAGTCTGTGCCTGCGCCCCATTCCCCATATCCACCCTCACCTTCTGCATGGTGTGCGGGGGGATCTTCTCACACCTCCCAAAAACGGGGCCGTGGTCCTTGGTGGTGAGGTGCTCCAGCTTGGAGCGCAGGGCCTGCTCCTCCTCCGAGATGATGCGGAAGGTGCCCGTCTGGGGGTGAGGAGAACATGTGGGGTCTCCCCAGCCAGCCCCCATGCTCCCTGCCCCGCTGCCGGTCTCCTGGGGTAGGGAGCTATGGGGAAGGGCATAGAATCCATAGGGGGTGCAGTGGGATGGGATGGGCTGTGTGCTGAGAGCAGCCAGGGGGTAAGGGGTGCATGGGGTGCACCCCATCCCAGCACTGCAGGGAGGGGATGCTCAGAGCCTAGGGGATAGGGCAGCACAGGGGCAGTACTCACAACCGCAGACATGTCGTCCTCTGTCCTCTGTCCTCTGTCAGCTGCAGGACACTGGGAGAGGGAAGGAGCAATCAGCAGTGACGGGGTCCTAATGGTTTCTGCATCCCCCCCTATGCCCCATCCCTGCTCCTCTTGCTCAGGGAAGGGTGGAGGCAGATACCCAGAGGACGCCCCCATCCCTCCTCAGTTCCATCATGTACTGCCTGCATCTGCCTGGCAGCAGCCTTGAGAAGCACCAGGGATGTTTGCAAAAGCAGCTTAAAGATGTGGGCATTGATCATCTGACACCATCCTTTTTCTGGCTCTGGGGACATCTCATAAGGACCTCCCGGCCCCATGAGCTCACCCAGCGCTGTTTGTCTCAGACCACCTTCATGTGTGCAGAAGTGGGTGCCCAGCTTTGGCCAGGCAGCCAGCAAGGTGCTTTTATTGCCTTTTATTTCTACCAGCCTGCTATCCCCAAAGTGTTCCCCAAGCCCTCAAGCCCCACTGCTCCAGCCCAGAGCCCATCATTGGCTGCAAGGCTGGACTATGATCCTCGCAGCATCTTTCCATCACAGTCTGGGTTAAAGACCTTGTTCTCATGCCCTTTGAGGAGGAGGAGGAGGGCTGCCTTCATCCTACCTCCAGCACTCATCCCTGCTCCTGCCTTTTGCACTAATTTCAAGCCCAGGCAGTGCAAGGGATGCTTGGCTCCAGCTCAGTCACTTCCACCAGCTCCAGGGTGAGCATCCCCTTTTGCCAGGCACTAAAACCAATCCCAACCCCAGCAGTGCCATGTTAAGGGCTGGATGAGTCTCCAATGCAGTTATTTCAGCTGGGAAAAGCCCCGGATACTCACCAGGGATAGAAAAGCTGAACTGAGGGTCAGTGCACGGGGACCGAGATGGACGCGTGGAAGGCAAGGCCGGAGTGGAGCAGGCAGAAAGAGGGGCAAAAGCTTTGTAGAGTCAGCGGTTTGGGATTAGACCGTCACAAGGCATCAACTCACTGCAGCTTTGTAATTAAGGCAGCACAGCCCCGGCGAGAAACCCCATTCCAGCATTACAGAAGGCAGCTGATGGGAGGGAAGGAGGGAGTTGGGGCTGCGCTGGCCAGCCCGAGTGTGCGTGGAGGGGCGAGCCGGGATGCCGGACCCGATTAACCAAGTATAAAAGCTCCTTGTTGTGTAACTCGCTCATTAGCACGGGGCAGGGGCAGGCGGGGGCTGGCTGCCATCCCTGCCTGCTCCCCCGGGCAGAGCGGGTCAGGGCTGTTCCATAGCTTCTGCATCAAAAAGCATGGCAAGGTCCGGCTGCAGGGACAGATCCATGGCAAAGGATGCTCCCAGGGCTGGTCCATCCCAGGGCTCTCCAACTCCTCCCAAACCAGTATCCGTATGGGTCCCTTTTCAGCTTTTAGAATGAGAAAGCATGAGCAGATCATTGTTTTTACAGCATCCCAGGTGATGGTTTCCTGCTTGGAGCTTTGGGAACTGGAACCCTGTCCATCCCTGGGGTGAAATCATGAGGAAGGGGAGCCCAGGATGTGGCAGGAATGGTGCTGAGCACATGTATGGGTGCAGAGGGGTGGCAAAACAAGTGTTTTGGGTATGACCCAGCATGCATGGGGTGGGGGAGCCCTTGCAGCCTTAACTCTTTGGGCCTATGGTTGCAGGAGCTGGGTGAGGATGGGGCCGTGCACAGCTCTTTTCCCAAGCCTAGAACTGGAGCTCAGCCAGGCTCTTACCACACCAGGGATTTTGGGGAGGCGGTGGGGCTGGGCTGAGTGCCGGGCAGGACTGAAGGGGCTTACACAAGGCACGTTTTGTAATGCCACCGGGATTTACGGATTTGGTTTCCACGGGGCTGCCCTGCAAACAGAGCTGAGACCCCACTGCGAGGGAGGAGGAGGAAGGCACGAGACTCCTGATGAAGGGCAATGGGGAGCGGGGAGGGAAAACTCAGACTGTGCCAAGACCCCAGGCAATGCTGCCATGGCCAGAGGCATCGCACACTGAGACCCCCAAACCTCCTTGTCCCTTCCTATGCCAGCCCTAGTGTAAGGCTCTGCTTCCTCCTAAAGCTAGTGCCTTTGTCTGCAGAGCAAGATGGTGTGTGATGGGGGGATATCATCCTGAATAACCCCAATAGCCCTGCATGGGGACGGCAGAGGGGACCACAGGGGCATCCTGGCCATCACGCTCATCACAGATGGAATACTTCTGCAGACTCATGTGTAGCCCCTGGCATCACGGTGCTTTGTCCTGCGAAAAGGAGTCTTGGGATGGTTGGCAGCCCCACGGACAACCCATCCCCAAGTATTGTGGCCATAGCCCTTAGGACATCTCTTGGCCAGGTCCAGTTATCCCGCTCCCCATGGCCCTTGGCCCTGGGTGAACCCGCTCCCCGTGAGCACAGGGCTTGCGAAAGCCCCCACGCTGTGCTGGCACCGGATGCCCTGGATAAATCCCCCTGCTTAAACACGGGCTAAACCTCCTCGTGTGCCCAAGGCCACCCCTCATCCCCCTGGAATTAACAGGCTCTCGAAGGTGCTGGGTGCTGCTGTGCTGCGGGTGGCCCTGAATCATAGAATGGGTTGGGTTGGAAGGGACCTTACAGCTCACCTCACCCCAAGCCCCTTGACACGTTCCACTAGAGCAGGTTGCTTCAAGCCCCGTCCAACCTGGCCTTGAACGCTAATAGGGATCTCCAGATTTCTTGTAGCTCCCCTTTACACACTGGGAGCTGCTCTAAGGTCTCCTGGGAACTTTCTTTTCTCCAGGCTGAATAAGCCCAGCTCTTGCCCTGTCTCCATAACAGACAAGCCTGCTTCATCAGAGAAGTCTGAAGAGATGACGCTACTGAACGCTGAAAGGAGGGCTGAGCAGACCATAGAGTCGTAGAACCGACGTTTCAGCCCAGTTTTGGGGTTGCATTAACATGACAGTGCCTGCTTTCAACTCTGAACGCGGTGACCGAGCAAACTGATCACGTTTGCTAATGGGCACTGTATGCTGAGTGCCCCGGTACCCGCCTTGTGCCCGCACCGCGCGGGACTCGAACCCGCGGCCTCCCGTGCTGCCGGGGCGGGCGGGCTCAGCCGCTGGCGGGGACGGGAAGTGAGCGCTGCGGGCGGGACTGTTGCCCGGGTGACGGGCGGGCTCTTCCGGGCGGGAATTTCGTGGCGGCGGGGCCGGCTCCGGGGCGCTGTGCCCGTGTCCCGGCACCATGGCTCAGCGTATCCTGGCGCTGGCGGCCCAGGAGGTTCCCGAGCGGCTCCAGGAGGCCCTGCAGAGCCTGGGGGAGAGCGAGGTGCGCGGGTACCCGGTGGCCGGGCCCGGTGTGCGGGGCGGGGGTGGGGGGTGCAGCGCAGCTCACGGCGTCCCCTTCCCTTGCAGCTGGGCGATATGGTGACAAGGCAGGCCCTGGGCGGCAGGGAGACGGCAGCTTTGCTAAGAGGCATCTTCAAAGGTGGGTGAGCACTGAGGTGCGCTGGGTGGGGGTGAGGGGAGGTGGTCATGGGCACCAGGACGTGTCACTTCTGGTGGAAACAAACATAAGGACATGGAGCTGTTGGAGCAGGTCCAGGGGAGGCCTCGAGGATGATTAGGGGACTGGAGCAGCTCCCGTATGAAGACAGGCTGAGGAAGTTGGGGCTGTTCAGCCCCATGGAGACCTCATAGCAGCCTTCCAGTAACTGAAGGGGGCCTATAGGGATGCTGGAGAAGGACTCTTCATTAGGGACTGTAGTGATAGGACAAGAAGTGATGGGTTCAACTTTAAACAGGGGAGATTTAGGTTAGGTATAAGGAAGAAGTTCTTTACTGTGAGGGTGCTGAGGCACTGGTGCAGCGTGCCCAGAGAAGCTGTGGCTGCCCCATCCCTGGCAGTGTTCAAGGCCAGGCTGGACACAGGGACTTGGAGCAACCTGCTTTAGTGGAAGGTGTCCCTGCCCATGGCAGGGGTTGGAACTGGATGAGCTTAAGGTCCCTTCCAACCCATCCTGTGATTCTACAAAAATCAGCTGGTCAGGGCTGCCCAGGGAAACGTGATACCCAAAAATAGGTACAGGGAAATAGGAGACCGGACTGACACATGTTTAATGAGCCTGTTGTGAGTGGGCTTTACTTTTGCCAGCCCTTAGGTGATACATTTTACATTGGCTGTTGGTAGTCATAGTTACTGCACATATTAGGGTCTTGAACCTGTGTCAAGAACATGTTCATTAGCAATAAGGACTTAATGAGTAAAAACAAGACCTGGTTCTGTTTGAAACATCAAAGGAGAACATCTGGGATTGAGGATGTTATTTTCAGCTTGGCAAAGTGACTGTCCAATTAACCAACTTGGCAGGCAAACTGAAGTTTGATTCATTCTGAAGTGAGCTGCCTTTATTATTATACTAGTAGTCACACCCACAGATCAAAAAGACCTTGACCCAGGTGAAGACACTTCCTCTGAGCATGCAGTTATATGAATGAATATGTAGTCATATGTTAACTAATAACCAGTCAGTATGAAATCTCTGATTTTTGTGTATAAAAGAGCCCTGAAACTTGATGTGCATGACTTGTGTAACAGCCCGCCCAGGCCTGGCTCAACACATCTCCTGAGTGTGTGGATTTGTTACACACTGGGCACAAATCCACTTTTAGGACAACACAGGCACCTTAGAGTAGAGCTGAGCCAGCTGAGACTTAATTGCCAACCTGATTCTTCTCAGCGTTTTGACACTTCCTGATCTCTGGCAGTAGGTTGAGTGAAGCACAGGGTGTGATAGCAGAGTTCAGTGCTTCAGCTGCTTTATCCAAGAGATTCTCATTTCCTGTCCTCTGTTTTATTTATCTGTTGTGTCAGATAGATAAAGCAGGGAGTTGCAGTCAGGTGATAGTTCAGCCCTGCTAATTTCCTGTTGGTTAGCAACATGTTGTTACTTCCATAACTTTTTGTCCATTCTTTGTTTTCTTTATTTCCTCCTTTTAAGGCTCCCCCTGTTCCCAGCAGAGTGGTGTTCTCAGGAGGCTTCAGGTTTACAAGCACTGCATCCCGCTGGTGGAGTCAGGAGATCTGCATCTGGCCAAAGTGTCTGAAATCATAGGACTGCTCATGCTGGAGGTAGATGTTCCTTTGGGTTTCCTGGGTATCACTTTGTGTGTTGACTGAGATACTTCACTCAGCCACTGAGGAAGATGAGTTGTGTCCTTTCTGTGGATCCACCCTGGACTAAGTTAGCTGGTGTTGGAATTTACTGTGCATGTGAATGTGATTATCTTTAATTTAGACTTGAAACTCCAAACCTATAATTATGTCATCTTGATACACTGCTCTATTCTATACAAAATAGAGATCTCAGGGCCAAATTCTGCTTTTAGGGGAACATTTCCCAGTAGGAATGCTGTTGTTTGCTGGGTTTTGGTGATGGTTTGGATGTATATGTGGACTTCTGTGCAGTGCCTCAGGCTTTTCAAACGTTGTATGTTCTCCCAGGCTCGCCAGCTGCCAGGCCCTGCCTTGGCTGAACTTGCCACCCTGTTTGTGGATGTTATCAAAGGTGGCAACCTGTCTAATGGGAAATCCTTGGAGTTGTTTTCCACTGTTCTCACTGCACTGGCCAGTTCAAAGGAGAGTCTGGCTTATGGGAAAGGTAATCCCTCTCAGTTCCTTCTCTACAGCCTGTCCTCCCTTCCTCTGGAATCAGCTCCTCAAAGACTTTTGCTTTTTCAGGTGAACTGAATGGCGAAGAGTTTAAGAAACAGCTGATAAATACTCTCTGCTCCAGCAAGTACGTACATCCCTGCTAGCTCTTAGTTACATGGCAAAACAGCTTCATGTTGTGCTTTGAAAAAGGCATCATCATGAGCTGGATGTCACCACCTGTGTCCTGTTCTATCATCCTTGAATCTGTGCTCTCCCTGACAGTGTCTTCTCTGGCTGGGATAGCAAGGGAACACCCTGCTCCCAGATCTTGTAATAGTGTTGCATGAACTGGTCTTGGAAAGTGCTTGTTTTCATTTCTCTCTTGGTATTTGTTATTGTGGGGGCTGGGGCAGCTGAGGACCATTACCAGTCTGGGTGGTGGTGGTGATGATTTCTGGTGGAAACCTGGCTTCTAATCTTAATACAAGAAAATAACAGGAAATGGTGACATTGAGTAATTGTGTATGAGGAGGGAAGGGCTAAGTGGTAATTCTGCTTGCTCTACATTTTCTGACATAGTTTTGTTGTACCAGGTGGGATCCTCAGAGTGTGATACATCTTGCCAACATGTTCAGGTAATTCTTTTTCCTTCAGCATCAACACTTCTATGTGCTGTTGTCGTGTCTGTGCCCTATTTCACATGTAGTTTGGGGCAAGTACAAGTAGGTCTGATCATACCAGGCACAGCCACGTGAATGGTTGGTCAATGAACATCCATGTTGGATCCATTTGGACACAAAACACAGCTTTGGGAAGGCATGGCCCAAAGACTGGGCATGGCATCATTGTTTCTATTCCATGTGTGAGTGAGCCTTGGCAAGTTAATAATACATTAGTGAACATCATGTGGAGGAGATCTAAGCACAGAAAGAAGAGTATCCTGGAACAGAGGTAGGGATTTGAGGAATCTTTGGCAACTGCTTCTGGTGAGGACTGTGGGAGCACTTGCTGCCTGTCTGTACATTAGAAGCTTT